TATAGTTTTAGTTTTTAAATTTATTCTTTCAAATAGGTAATAGTACACACTGTAAAAAAATAAATATTTTTTCATAAATTCCAAAAAGCACCCAGTGAAAATACATCAGTCCCCAGAGGGATGATCACTGTTAATTCTTTCCTTAAAACAAGATTTTATTTATTTATTTTTAGAGAGAGAAGAAGGGAAGGAAAAAGAAAGGGAGAGAAACATCAATGTGTGAGACAAACATCAATAAATCAGTTGCCTCTCGCATGACCCCAACTAGGGACCAGGACAGCAATTCAGTCATGTGCCCTGACTAGGAATCCAATTGGCATCCTTTAGGTTTATGGGACTATGACCAACCCACTAAGCCACACCAGTCAGGGCTACTGTTACCTTTTGAGTTTTATACCAGAGACATTTTATATATATAAGAGCATATATTTGTTCCAGTTTTCTTCTTTAACATATTATTCACACTGCTCTGCCACTTTTTTCATTTTGCTATATCTTAGAGATTGTTCTGTATTTCAATATATATCTCTACATCTTTCTTAATGGGTGGTGTAGTGTCCACACAAGATGCATTGGCTGTTTTTATGAAGTATATAGTGAAGAGTGACTATTTCTTGGCTTCTTTCTCATACTACACATTCCCTAGAAAGAGCAGGTGTCTTATCTTCCATTCTTTCAATTCTCTGTAGTTTTGTCGGTTTCATTTGATCTAGAATACATCCATCACTCATTTACACAATCATGTCTACACATTTTTCTAGTCTAGGGACTAGACTAGAGATTCCAGTCTCCCTAGACTCAAATTGTGTCTTTACTCTCTATTTCCTTTGCACTCACAAGTTACTCAAAGACATTCTCTTGTTTTAATAATATATCATTGAGAATACACATATGAGGTCTGTTCAGAAAAAGTCCAGCCATTGCTAAAATAATGAGAACAGTTTGCACAACATCTATGTAACATGGCAGCCAAGGAGAGTGGACTGGAATGCACATGTATGAACAATGATGACTTCATTGTATTAGTCAGTGGGGGCAGTAGATGCCATTAAGTGATCATGTGTACTGTGTGGTCATGGCATTAAAATAACTGAGTGAGTAGAGTAAGGAATCTACATCAAGTTTTGCACTAAACTTGAACATTCCTCTGCAGAAACTATTCAGATGATTGAGAAGGCTTTTGGGAATGATGCAGTGTGTGCAGTGCAAATAAAAATGTGGCATAAATGCTTCACAGATGGTCAAAAATCTGTTGAAAATGATCCATGTTCTGGAAGGTGTGCAATAAGCAGAACACTTGAGAATGTTGAATGTGTATGGGCTGCAATCAACAAAGATGGGTGATGGACAGTGTGAGAACTAGAAGCTGATCTGGGGATTTCAAAAACTACTGTGTCCTAGATTTTGATGCAGAATCTTGGCATGAAACATGTCATGGCAAAATTCATTCCACAGCTTCTGCTACCAGAGCAGAAGGAACTTCTGCAGTTGCTAATGATTTGATTCAACCAGCTACCAATGAACCAGATTTCCTCAAGAAGGTCATAACCAGAGATGAATCATGTATCTATGGCTGTGATTCAGAAACAAAGTCCCAGGTATTCCAATGGAAGTCACCTGGTTTTCCATGTCTGAAGAAGGCATGGAAAAGTCACAGCAAGATCAAGAGCATGTCAACTGTGTTTTTTGATTGGGAAGATGTTGTCCTTCATGGGTATGCCCATCCAGGCCAAGCAATTAATAAGTAGTACTACCTCAATGTTCTTTGTTGGTTGAGAGATGCAGTACTATGAAAACACCTGCAGTTATGGGCTACTGGTAATTGCCAGCTTTATCATGACAATGCACCCGCTCATGCATCATGTCTCCTGAAGAGTGTTTTGGTGAAGCATCATATCACCCAGGTGATTCAACACTTCTACAGCCCAAATTTGATGCCCTGAAACTTCTGGCTTTTCCCAAAATTAAAGTCACCTTTGAAAGGGAAGAGATTTCAGACCATCGATGAGATTTAGGAAAATATAACATTAGCTGATGGTAATTCTAACAAAAGATTTTTCAGGGTTTTGAACAGTGGAAGAGATGCTGAGAGAACTGTGTGAGAGTCCAATGTGTCTACACTGAAGGGGACTGAGGCATCATTGCCCCATGTACAATATTTCTTGTATCTTATATCTTCAATAAATGCCTCTACTTTTCATACTCGGTGGCTGGATACCTTCTGTACAGATCTCATACATGTGTATAAAACATGTATTGACAGGGTACAGGACATACCACCCCAAAATATAATGCCTTGGCATCTTGAATTTTTCAAGCTGAAGGAGTCTGAGAAAATAGATGCAGGAATGACTCTCTGACCTTCCCCTAAAGCAGGTCATAACACCCTCAGGTGAGAAGTGCCCTCTCTTCACCCTGATGAAAAGAACATCTTTGTGTCCAAGACTCCCGAGAGGAATCTGAAAGAAGGCCTTGTTAAATTTCCCAAAGTTTACTACACTGAGCTCATATTTCTTTGGCCCAACACATTTTTCCATGACTTTCCAGTCTTCATCAAACATAGCACAAACCCATACAGGTTTAACCTCTTTTTTAGGTCTTCAGTTCCCTATGAAGGTGCCTGTGTCCCATAAAACTTATATTAAATAAATTTATGTGCTTTTCTCTTGTTAATCTATCTTCTGTTACAGAGAATCAGCCGAGAACCTAGAAGCATAGAAGGAAAAGTTACTTTTTCCTTTCCTACAATATACTTAAGGAAAAAATAAAAACACTAATAGCAGAAGCCTTCTGTCACCCACCTCCTCCTCCATTTTCCCCAACAGGGTAACTACTACCCTAGATTTCGCATTAGTCATTCTCTGGCTTTCCTTTTCTCAGTGGTTCTTGGGCTCTAGTGCATCAGAATCACCTAGAGGGCTTGTTAAAACATAGATTGTTGGGTCCTGCAGTTTCTGATTCAGTAGGTGTTCTAAGTTTCCATGTGATGCTACTGCTAATCCTAGGACAACAGTTTGAGAACTACTGCTTTACCTCAAAGGTAGTCTTGATTTCTGTATGATGACTCTGGTACTTCCCCAAAACCTAGCCACTTCATAAATGTGTCTTAAGAATCTCCCCTCATTTTTCTTCTACTCCATTTTTTTTAAATTGTTGTTCAACTATAGTTGTCTCCACCATTTTCTATCACCCAGTTTATGAGCATTCAATCTTTGCTATATATTTTGATTGATTGTGATGTTTGACCAGTCTCAATTTTTTCCTTTTTCTATTCATGATCCCATTTATAACTTGCTTCTCATTTGTGTGTGTGTGTGTGTGTGTGTCTATCTATTATTGTTAGTTAACCAGTAGGAAGAGTATGAGCAACATTTACATGTCTTAGTCATCTAGTCTGTAAACTCTTTGAAAGCAGGAATGAAGTGAAGAGGTTCAGAATATGCCACCCCAAAATATGCCACTTTGGCACATTGATGATTTTGAGCTAAAGGCACTTGAGACACAGAAGATGCAGGAAGGTCTCTGTCCTCCCCCTTTCTACCTAAAGGCAGGTCATAACATCATCCTTGAGAAAAGTGCCTTCCCTATACCAAGAAGAGAAGAACAATCTAATCACCAGAGTCTTGGAGTCAGCTCAGCTCTATACAAACAAACCTACTAAAATAACCCTGATCTACCATTTGTTTCCCTCATATCTTTCCTAGTCAATGTTCTGCAGTTTATTGTCCCTAGTACAAGCCCCTTTGTGTTGTTACATCTCCACAATTTGTTGCTCTTTGTATTAAAAGGTATGTAAGCTTTTAGGAATCACAGCTTCTTTGAGTCTTTATTTGCCTTTTGAAGACTCCAATGTACATGTAAAAATGTTAAACGAATTTTTACATTTTTCTCCTGTTAATGTCTTATGTCAGTTCATTTCCTAAGCCAGCCACAGAACTTGAGAGTAAAAGAAAGTTTTTCCTGCCTCTTCACAATTTAATTTCCCTTTGTAGTCCACTTTCTCAAGTTAGTTACACACCACAGTCTGCAGACTTAGCTGCTTGTAGGGCCAAAGGATATGTAAATGAGTGAAACTGGCCAGGTGGAACTTCACTGATCTAGAGACCATGTCTTATGCAAGGAGGGCAGCTGTTACTCAGACTTAAGCCAATCACAGGCCTATTATTCTCTGATTTTCCCATATTTCAGGAGAACCCAAAAATAATCCCAACTAATTCAACATTTTAAGACACAGAGCAGGCACAGAGGACACAGAGATTCCATTCAGAAAAGACTGCAGGAACTGAAACTGAATCCCTTTCATGTTTGAAGACATTTCCCATGGATGGATGGACAGACAGTTGAGTGAGGAACTGAGTAAATAATGAATCTGGTCATTGTGGCAGCTCTTTGGGAGAATGAAGGGAACAAGTTATTGTTGAATACCTACTACATACTGGCCTTGTGCAAGGGACGTCACATACCTTAGCTTATTTGACCTTCATAACCACACTAAAAGGTCATTGTCATCATTCTTATTTATTTCCACAGATGAAGAAGTGGTTGCTTAGAAAGGCCCAGGGTCATACTACTAGCTTTCTTTATTCATAACCTAACTAATTTAGAAAAAAACAAAAGGATTTCAAATGACTCATATGATTTAAGATGCGTCCTCAGCCTTGGATTCCAGGTAAGTGTTGTACCAAATTGCCACCACCAGGGGAATCAGGTTCTGAAAAAGCAGGAGGGAGAGGGTGCCAGTAGTTCTGGAGCAGGTTTGATTCCTTGGGCAACTTACCATGCAATTCACAGCTCCATGCTCCTCACAGATGTCAGCTAGAACTAAGGAGCTAAGACACAAGGGGTCTCTTGACATTTTGATGTGCCCTTCCCAATTCTTTCTATCTTATTACCCAATCAGAATTCAAGATTTTTGCCCACCAGCCTTGGAGCCCACTCCATCTTAGGTCCTTTCTAGAGGCCATTAGGATGAGATGCAGATACAGGAGCTATTTGGTTGGAGAATATTTTATTGGAATTATCAAGCCAGGAAAGAGTGATTGTAGGATCCCACATTAGCCCCCTCTTCCAGTGGGTATCAGCAGCGCTGGGTCTTGAAGGGAATGGTCACTGGGCATCAGGAGTTGCACTCCTCAATCCTTTCAGCTAGAGGGAGAGAGGGCAGTCAGAAGGGGACCCTTGGGTGCAGGGAGCTGGAGTCCTCCATAAGGAAGCCCAAGATGGGGTGGGGCACTGATGGAAAGAAATTTCTGTGCCAGTCTAAGTCCCATTCTCTAACTATTAATAGTTGAATTTCCCTTAACTTTGGTGAGAAGGTTTATCCTTCTTTCATTATCCCCATTCTCCCTCCCAGATGCTCTGCTTCTCCCCCACTCCTAACCTTCTTATCTTCCTAATGCTTACTACCTCTTACCTTAGGAAAGGCATCCCAGTTGAGGAAAGGAAGCTTTCGTTTGATAGTCTAAAACAGAAAAAGAGAATGAGAGCTGTGTTACAGGTCAGGTGAGCATGGATCAGTAAGCATTCACTAAGTAAGCTCTCTGCAGTGGTGCTATTGTTTTATAATTAGTAAGAACTAATATTTTTTGTGCCCTTGTTCTGTATCTGCCTTGTACTAACTGCTTTACAGTTATGATTTTGTTTGGTCTTCATAGAAACCTTTTGAGGCAGGTACTGTGATCATCCCCACATCACAAATGAGGAAACTGAGGTTCAGAGCACTGAAGATATTTGCATGTGGGCACATAGCAAGTGTGTGCAGAATCATGTGATGCAAGCTCTAGTTCCAGCATTGTCACTGATTTAGCCTTCTAAGTTTGGTTAAGCCACCCAACTTAGGATATCAGTTTCTTCATAGAGGATGAGGGGATTCAAACAAACTCTTGACTGATTAAGGTCTTCCTTTTTTTCTGAATTGTCGTTATGGCTTTGCTTCCCCACTACCATGTTAGGAAAATAAGATACAGCCATGACAGCCTCCTGGGGAAACTTTGTACACTGGACAGCATCCAAGCATGGCAGTTATTCTCTCCTAGAGTGCAGGAAAGAATCCAGAAAGCTAGAACTGGTACGTGTTGCCACTACCCTGCATAGACTGCAAGCAATCAAGGAGAATAAGGAGTACCCAGGCACTTACCTCGAAGAGGGCATGCCAGTTCAGGAATTCCTCATTCTTAAAAGCCTGTGGGGAGAGGGAGACCAGAAGAGAGTCAGTTCCAGGGTAGTACAGAGCTTAGCCCCTAGCCTTCTGGTAAAGGTGAAAGGACCATGGCAGCTTTGCAAGCTCTCTACTAAGGCATTGATCTCTCCGATGTGGATACTTGTGGGGGAAGCCCTACAGAAGTGTACTTACAGATCGTAACTTGTCGATGTTCAGGAATGGAGTGTTAAAGGCCTAGGCAAAGAAGCAGTGTATTAGAAAAACTTCTAAGGAGCATGAAGATGAAGATATGGGGACAAACTCATGTCTGGAGTGTCAGAAAATAGCTATTTACCTCAGGTCCTTTCGCATAATTACCAATAGTGGTTTCTTCCTGGAAAAGGGAGAAAGGAGGCAAATGATCACATGGCAGCAATCCCTCTTCCCAAACCCTCTCAGTCAGCTCTGCCTTCCTCCACAGGCCAGTCCCCAAGCATATAGCCCATTCTCCACGTGGGGCCTCAGTTAACCCAATCTGCTTCAGCAAGGCAGATGGCTTACAGATGTACAAGGTGAAGGGAAGGGTATTTGTAAGATAGAGAAATAAAACACCAAGACATGCATCAGGTGGAAAAGGTGGAGAAAGAGGACTCCTCCCAAGAAAAATGAGCTAGTGTTGTTTAGTTGACTTGGGGTGTTCTTGAGACACCTGTGCTTCACCCAGAGAGCTGGGTGTGGGATATTAACATGCTAATTGAAGCCGAGTTGCTGAAGTGCCCTGCCTGCCTTGAATTGATTGACATTGGTTTGCTTTGTGACTTTATTGCCACCAAAGTCCTAGCCTCTGTTCCTCTCCTCCATTTGGCAGCTCCCCAGGCCTCAGTGCAGCCCATCTTATTGCTCTCCCAATTTGCCCAGCTTCATTGTTTTTTATTTCTTATTCCTTTCTTCCCACACCAGAGGTCACAAACAGGTAACCTACTGGCTAGACCAAAGTGTTTAAACCTCATAAGGGTTTTTATTTTAAATTAAACATTTTTAATTAGTAAGAATTCATAAATCAGATCTCCAGTTATGCCTAAAAATTTCAAAACTCCAGCCACACTGGGTACATTTTTCCCACTTTGCAGCAGTCAGATGGAACACAGACTGTCCCCTTTTAAATCAGGCAAGTTTGCTCCATCTCCCCTGAGGCTCCACCAGCTCTCTTGCTCACTGACATCACTTGCTTGGATCCTAAGCAATTGAGTTTGTGATCCCTGCCACAGACTTTTAAACCCAGCATGCACATTCTCCCTCCACCTTGTAATTAGATGGGAATAGAGAGGCCTCAGGATTCCTCCTGGCTAGAGACTGGTTCATAAGGATTTTTGCTATGGCCTAGGCTCCAGAGATAGTAGAGAGCTTCCAGTCACCTGGAAGCCACTCCCAGGGATACAAGTGAAACAATGGTGAAGCTGAACCCAGACAAACAGCCTTAGCCCCTGTCTCCTCCCACGATTCAGTTGTCCAGCCTGTGTAGTTGAGATTTCCTTTAACTTTGGTGGGAAGAGGGAAGAAGGTTTATCCTCCTTTCACTGTCCTCACTCTCCCTCCCAGATCCTTTGCTTCTTCCCCCAACCTCCTTATCCTTATCCACCCCATACTTCATCACCCCTTCCAGAAATATAAGCATCTCCCTCCTTACAGGTCTTCCCAGGAATGTTTTGTTTCCTTCCTCCTTTCTTTCCTTCCTCAAAGCCCCACCTTCTCATTCAACCCCTGATAATATTAAAAAGTAATAACCACTTATCCAGTAATGGATAGAAGGTAAAGAAACTGAAGAGTAAGTGAGGTAATAGGTGTAAGAAAAAGAGAATCCAGATGATGTGCTCACCTTAGAACTACCCAGGGCAGCCCCCTGAGCAGAGTGAAGTGCCAGAAGAGAGAGAAGAACCACAGCAGAAAGAACTGGGATCTTCATGGTGTCAAGGTTGGGGTGCTCTGAGGCGGGGCCTCACTGCTTCCCTTTATATTCCCAGGGAGGCAGATGTGAGCAGAAATGGTGTCCCCACCCCACTGACTCACCCCCAGATCCTGCCACCCACCCCTGGGGCTCTGGGAGGGGAGGTGTGGACTGTTCCCCATTTACCTTGGATTTCTCAATTCACATTCTGCCCTAGGCAATAGGAAGGTGAGATGGCAATGGGATTCTTCATGCAAATGGATCTGGGATGGAGACAGGTTGGACCTGTCTCTCCAAGGGATTGTCAGTGGCACCCAAGCACCTCTCCTTTTGTCTGTCTCTTTTCCTTATGTCCTTCATTCCTCTCTTATAATTCAGGCTTTTTTCCCACCCTACCCAGTTCTGTGTAAACTCCTTAGACTGGCATTGAAGACATTTCACACTCTGGTCTCAATCTGCCTTTCTAACTTTTTCTACTTATGCTGCCTTTGCACATTCCTCACATTCTGGCCAAACTGGACTCCATACTAAATATACTCTTATTTTTCTTCCTGTAAGCATTTGCACATGCTGTACCTTATTCTTAAAATGCTCCTCTCTCATCTCCAATTCTCAGAACCCAACAGCCATCCTGGACGAAGTTTCCCTGATTTCTTCCAGCGTCTCCCATCCCCTTGCCCCTACACATTTTGCCCTTCTCAGAATTGCTGTATCAATTCATTTGTATCTCTCTGGCATTGTGTCTAGAGTAACTTATGTCCTTCTCTTATCTTCCTCTTAGGATATTAAGTTCCTTGAGGTCAGAAACTATGGTATATTTTCATCACTTTTATATGCCCCAAGCACTGCACCTTGCACAGAGTACAGGTGAAATGAATATTTTGGAGACTGGATATGTTAGAATTCAAGCATCCTTCCACCAAGTTGTACACTTTCTTCCTTTGGGATGGTCTCCTCCCATTATCCAATTTCTCATCTTTTACTCTTGGATCTTCAGAGAGATGACTGTTTCAAGCTAAGACAAGGAATAGAAGAAAAAAATGCAAACCAGGTCTTAGAGCTAACCAACTGGAGATGGGATCTACGTCCTGAAATGTGAGTGCCTACTTCACCTCATTGACTAATCCCACCCACCCCTTCACTCCCCCAGCTTGGAAGCTGTATCACCTCAAAGTGACAAAACATCCTAATCAAGTAACCTTCTCCACAATGAGGTTCAGGTGGCCTAACTGGTTCCTGGTGTAACAGGGAGGTGCTGGAACATGGAGTAGTGCTACCAGGACAAAACAAGCCCTTATTTAAGAGTGGGCTGCTTTACCCAACCTAATGCAATGCACACTAGATGGCAGGCCTAGAGTGGGAGGGCTACAGTCATTCATGAACAATTCTTATGAACTCCAGAAGCACTTAAGTTCAATTCTAATGATGCACCCACACCCCAGTACCTGACACCCTATATCTCTTTAGACTTAGGAAGCCTTCTCTGTTTTTGTAATGACATCTCCCCCTTTTCAGAGCTACCTGAGGAGACAATGCTTGAGGGACACTCACTAAGCACAGATGACCTGTGACAATGGGTGCCACATACAGTTGGTGCTACTGGAGGGGACAAGTGAAAAAAATGACTGCAGTGGGTGGAGTGCCTCCCAAAACATTTTCTGGAGGACACAAGTTTTTATGTGTAATGAATTCTTACTAATTGGTTAACAGTGACTGAAAGAGCTTATTAACCGCCATTCTGTCAGCATAGAATGCTGGAGTCAACTCCAGGAGCAAAAGGAATGAAGAGTTGACAAAAAGAGAACTGCTGTTGTAAAATCAACTGTAATTAGACATGGTAATGCAGGAACACTTTGGCATCTAAAGCAACAGATGATCCCAACACCACCCAACACCATCTATTTGGCTCTAGAGTTCTTTAGCAATAAACTGATTTCCCTGTTTTCCTCTCCACCTAATACTAATGCTGCTAATAATAATGTTAGCCAATTTATTGATGTCCTACTATGTGGAAGCCTTGTGCTTAGTGCTCTAAATGTATGATCCCACTGAAATACCAGTGATTCTGTGACGTGGATACTGTAATTATTCACATTCTTTAGATAGGGAGACCACAGCACATAGAGGTGAAGTAATTTACCCAAGTTCACACAGACAGTGTGTGGCAAGGTCACTGTTCAAACCCCAGGATTCCAGAGCTTGCATTCATATTGCCTCTTTGCTATCCTGTGGAGTATTATCCTACAAAGGGCTTCAGTCAGCCCATATACACCTTGTGTGAATTAGACGCATGCCTTGAGAGATAGGGGACGAAAGCTGCATTTAGTCCCCATTAGCTTCTTACTCAGGTGTCCTTTGTGATATGCAGCCTGCACAGCCATAGATGTCAGCTCTGAGCATATGTGTATCAATGCCAATGAATTAAACTGTACACCCCTGGCAAAATGAAAAGAGAGAGCTAAGAGATTAGTGACACTCAATGAGCATATGCCCCAGAATGAACCTGCAATTGCCTTAGTTTCCAGGTGCTTCATATAGTATGAGCATCTTGTTACACCAAGTATGTACCTCAAGATATTCCTAGTTCTAGTTCTATTGTTTAAAGATAGGTACTTTTTTATAATGCCTCTATACACAAGCCAGCTACTTCATGTGTGCAACTGAAGAAATTCTGTTCTTGTGCTGGAGAAAAAAACTGGCTGTGCTAGACTTATAACTTGTTTTAATTTGGTATGTTCCTGATGGAATTTCAAGGACAATTTTGGTTTTGCATGACATGCTGTAAGTGCTAATTAATGTCTCTCTCCAAACTCCTCACCCTTCCCCCATCTATACTGTCTCAGTGAGTTTGTGTTTCCTGAATGTCCAGTGTCCAGTGGGAAGGCAGGTAGGAGGATTCTCACTGGGAGAGAGTCCCAGCAGTTTGAGTAATGGCTGGCAGGAGAATCAACCTGGGATTTAGCATTTCTTTGGGTACAGCACGTCGGGCTAATGGTCAGGTAGAGCCACAGAGCTGGCTCTGCATCCACCCATTTCCAAGTCTGGTTGATCTCTTAGTTCCCTTTCTGAACATACCAATAAACCCATGTTTTTCCACAGGCCTGCCCCTACCCCACCACAGGTCTGTCAGAACTTGAGTGTGGGTAGAAGGTAAGGCCCAGCCCTGATTGCTACATTACAGGCAAACCTAGGAGTTGGGAGCTGGCCTGCTGGGTTCAGGGAAGGAATGCGGGATTTGAAGTGATGCACACTGGGGTATCAGGGCCTTGGTGAACACCCAGGTGACAAGCCTTGGAGAGAAAGGGGGCCAGGATGTGGAGTATGGAGTTATGTGGGATATTGAGAGGCATAGCTCAGAGTATCCTGTCCCATCCTCTCCACCCCCTGTCAACGTTATTATCACACCCAAGGAAGCAGTCGCAGCCGGTCAGGTTTATTCCTTTGCTGTCCACCCTCTGTCTCTGTGTACCCTTTACTTAAACTTCTCTCAGAAAGACTTCCTGTACTGATCCAACTTAATTCTGTTCTCCCCTTTCATTCTCTAATTCATGAATAGAACAGCCACTTGGCTCTTGGGAATTGAAGATGGACATAGTACTTGTTCTGTGGAGCTTATGTTCTAGTAGAAGAAACAGATCAGAATTTAACAAAAAATTAGGAAACAAGATAATTTCAGAGAATGAAAAAGTCTGTGAAGCAGCTAAAATAGGGTGATGTGATTGTAATTATGTACGTATCCTCAAGTAAGCTGGATTGGTGAAGGACATTTGAATTTAGACCTAAAGCTCCAAACTGCTGAAGATTTTGGGTTCCAGGAGCAGATAATAGCAGTGTTCACCAAGGGTCTGTCTTAGCAGGTCCAGGATGACATTGGAGAGGGAGGTCAGAGCCAGATCACCCTGAGCCATGGTGAGGAGTTGGAATTTTATTCTAGGGCTAATGAAAACCTTGCAGAGGATTCTGAGCATGGGATCCTCCTTGGCTGTCATGGGAGAATGGATTTGGGGCGGGGGGGGGGGAATGAAAGGACATTGGGAAGTTGCTTCAGAGGTCCAAAGAGGAGGAAGTCTTTTACACGAGAGGGCCTTACCCTGCTTCCGGTGGTACTTTAAACGGCTGCTTTCAGCCCCAAGAGTCCAGAGCCATGTTGAGCATGCCAGCTTCTTCCTCAATCCCTCAGGGACTGGCTCCAGGAGATCTGAGTTCCAGCCAGTTCTGAAATCTCACCCACACTCCAGGAAGCTAGCTGTCAGTCACCCTGAAGGATTGACCGTTGGCCCTGGGACAGCTGTGTTCTCCCCTCTGTGGCCACAAGGGGGTGCTGCAAGGCTGTCCCTATACAGTTGAAACCCAAGACTGTACAAAGCAATAGCCACAATTTCAGGGAGATAAGTGAAAATAGGATGTAGAGCAAAGGAGTCATCCTCTCCTTTTTCCCAGCCAGAAGGATTTGATCGAGTTGCTTTCCCAAAGTCCATTTTTGGCATTTTTCTTTCATTTATTTACCAATATTTGAGGCCTGTCCTACCCTGTGAATAGTGACCAAGGCAAACAGGTCATATCCTCAGAAACCTCGTAGTCTCAGAGAGTCGCTCGTGTTAGCAGGGTTGTTGTATGTCCTCCTTTTACTTCCTGTGTCTCTGCATGGATGTCAGGGATGAGGGATGAGGGTTCCTTAATATGGGCACACAGTATGACCTTAAATGGGACTTTGGCTCAGAGACTAACTGGAGACTCTCCAGCCCTGTCCTCGGGGTTCCTGGGCTTATAATAAGCCTGGGCTCAGCCTGTGCCCAGAACCTCTGCCTGTCTCATTGGTACATTGGTGGAGTACAAGTGTTCTGCTGCCCCTCTGCATGCTGGAGACACAGGGCTGCTGTGTGTGAGAAGAAGCTGGATAGGAGCCACTGCCCCATCTTTCTAAACATGTCAACCCAACTGTCCCCTCATCCACCCTTCAGTGCATTTATGAGGCCAAGGCATACTCTGTACCCACCCCTTGCTCTTGTTCCTGCCCCCTCCCTAGCCCTCTGGGACAGGTGTCTTCCCTTTGAACAGGCTCTTTACTCCCACTTTCCTATATGAATAGCCCCCTCATTGCTTTTTAGGCTAGCAAAACACCTGTGGCTGCTTCAAGGGCAGCATGCACGGTATGCAGATATAGGTTGGGCAAAGATCATTTTTTTACAGATGGGGAAACTGAGGCCTAGTAAGATCCACTAGCTACTTCTTGTCAGGACTACTCAGGTCTTATCTCTCTCAGCCCACCATTTTGTACATAAGTCTCAGGAGGAAGGCAGATTATCTGTCCCTAAACCACTCTTCCAACCTCCTTGATCCAGGCCATCAGTATAGTAGTCAAGAAATCTTAGAGCAACAAGATCCATGTTTTATTTCCACAGAGAAATTCAAGAGTGGGAAGCTTCTCCTGAAGGACTGTCAGTGACTTCAGGTTACAAATGGAGTAGGTAGAAAAAGCGGCTGGTTTATTCGAAGAGGCTGGTGGTCAAGGAGACACCACACAGAGTGGGGAGAAGGGACAAGGGACAGAGAGACCAGGTCCCCAACCTAGAAAGAGCAGATGTCAACACCCAGACCAAGCCTAGCACAGAGGGAGGGCTGGGGGAGGGGCGCAGTCAGGCTCCTTGAACACTGAAGTTTTTCAGGGCCTCAGGCGTGTTTGGGGGTAATTTTCTGGAAGAAAAGCAAAGAGCAAATGGTAGAATGTGACTTGAAACCAGGTAGCTTCCCATCCAGTTTCTGCATCCCCACAGTTCCATTGTGTCTCCTCACCTGTCTCACCTGCCATCCCTCACTGTGCTATCCCCTAAAACAGGTTGTGTCCTTCTACCAAGTTAATCTATTACCTCCCTAACCCCTTCCCCCCGACTCACTTCTTTTTTTCGGGGGGACTCACTTCTTCTTCCTGCCTCTGACACTTTACACCTGAAAGGCTCACCTCTCTGCAGTTTCCCTGCACAGTTCCCATCCAGTCCCTCTCCTTAACCTAGCGTGCCATTCTTCTCCTTCTCCTGTCCCTGCATGGTCCCACTCTATCAGGCCTTCACTCAGCACGCAGGTGCTTTCTGAGTAGGTCATATCTTATGATTTTTCTCCACACTGGGTTCCCCTCCTCAGTACCTTTAGAGCATCCACCCAGAGCAAAGGAAATACCACAACCCCAGCCCTGCCCCTCGGTGACCATGCCTCAACTCCTGGATGCAACTGAACACGGCTTACTCTAACACTCACCTACCAAAACTTCACCCACTGCAGCAGGCCAGGTTGCACCCGGGAAGCCTGCAGGACAGGGAGAATGTCTGAGTAGACATCACACTGTCCCCTGCACAAACTTTGGCCTCAGGCCCCTTTTCTCACAAGCTGGATTTCCTTTGCCCCAGTACTTACCGAGGAAGAAACCGTGACTCCCCCCTGTAAAGAGAAGATTGGAGTAGGTGATGTGGAGACTACAGTGATCTTTCTGAATTCTGCCATGTCTGTAGAGCTCAGGAAGGGCCCAGTAGAAGGGGCAGGCTCAGACCAGGTTACCTCAATGACCACGGACATTCAGCCCATGGAATTTTTTTCATAGCAGAACTTATCATCCTAAATACATTTTACCCAAGATGATATGAACGTGGTCCTTTAGCACACACTGCCCACGGGGAGTGAACAAAAATAGGTAGGTCCCCCTCTGCCTACAAGGTGGATGGAAATTGGCCACCAATAATTGGCAAAGTGGATAGCCACAGGTAGTATGACTGCCTCTTCATCACCTGTCAGTAAAGAGTTTCTGATCTTCAGTGGAAGGCCTCTCTGCGAGGTCAGGGCTTTATTGTTCTGAGAGGTGGAGGGAAATACCACCTGTTTGCTTCACCAGCCCAATTAGTGTTTGGCACATCTATTATAAATTAAGATTGCTTTCTTTGCAACTGAATGCAACAAAATTCTCAAATGTTTTTCCTTTTATTTCCTTAGTGGAATGAAGCATTTATTTCTCACCAACCAAGAGTTCCTAGGCTAGCCTCACCTACCCTCCTCCTCTTCTACCCCCAGCAACTCTAGAAGGACAGCAGATAAAGAAGAAGAGAGCCGATACTACAAAGGAAAGCTATTTGTTTTGCCATGTTTCATGTGATTTTTCTGAGGAGCATATTTCTCTTTCAGAGAATAGTAGTTCCCAGTTTTCTCCATAATGTAGCCACTGATTTCTTGTAACCTTTTCTGAATGTGGGTGTGAAGAGCCTTCAACCTTCTAGCTAACCCACATAGAGGACCTTGGTAGCAAAAGCTTCCCCTTTCCCCTCCATGCAGATACCCCACTGGGAAAACAGGACAGTTGCAAGTCTTACCTTAGCAGGGATCTTGGCTGAGTATTGCCCACTAGAGGGAGTAGGATATGCCTGCTGGTTATAATTGTAGTTCTGCAGGAGAAAGTAGAGGACAGTGGGTGGTGGGTGGGGGCAGGACAGCACAGAAGGAATGAAGGCATTTTGCTCTGGAATAAACACCCCACCTCCCTGCCCTGGCTGGAGATTTTTCAAAGCCCTTGCCCCTGCCCCCCACACCCCATGTCATATGTTTTCTAGAATCTTCTTGAGCCACCCATAGCCCACACCCTCACTTCTTTATGGTCCTAGCCCACATGGCTCTGCCTCCTTTCCTCTCCCAACTCAAGCGTTACTTGGGAGGTAAGGGAAGGAGATCAGGGAAAGAAGTGAGGTCTAAATCAGGTGGTCGCATGGCAGATAGCTTACCTTAGAAGTTACAGCTGGTACTTCTGGCCATCCTGCACCAGGCTGAGAAAATTACAGAGCAGAGGAGTAAAGGAAGAGAATTTCAGATTGGCCAGACCCAGGAACAAGATTGAGAGGGACCAAGGGCCTCCTAGGTCAGTCTGAGGACAGAGACTTACCTGACCAGCACTGCCTGCCCTCTTCTGGAGTGATGATGATGGATTGACACCCTGTAAGGAAGAGGGAGCCACAGTTAGGGTGTCTCCGTGGTCCCTCAGGCCTTGTTAGACTTTTGGGACTCCAACATCCTGCTGCCTATGCTCTGCCCTCCATTCGGAGCAGCAGCATCTCACCTACCCCATGCCACCCATCTCCGGGGTCCATGATAAGTGCTGCCTGCAAAGAAGACAGTGAGCCTAGAGGAAACTGATGGCCCAGATAGATACAGGCAGATTTCCACACTCAGTGCTGGGGATCGAGGGTCGAGATCTGGGTTTAGCAACACCATCCCCATCCAGACACCTGGACGTTGGCAGCCTGGCCTGAGACCAAGCTAGAATGACAAATGTGGGGTGTCCACACAGGCCCCTGGGCCCCAGTCCACCTTTTGCTGACACCAAACCCCGCTTCTGTCACAAGCTTTGTTATCCCTGTTCACAAGTGCTGTTCCTACAGAGGCAAAGTGAAGTGTATAACATTACCTCAGGGTCAAAGAGAAAGAAAAGGAAGAACTACAAGGAAGCAGATGAAGGTACTTAAGACACACCATAGATGCACTTGCCACCTCCCCTCCCTGAGTTGAGGCAAGGGGAAATTTCTAAGCAGTGGGAGAGAAGTTAAGTTTCCTCCATCATCACTTCTCTACTAGGAACACCATCACCACCATCTCTCATATACTCACGGTTAGGATGTTCTTCTTAACTCTGACAACTCTCTACTTTTTCCTCACCTGACACCGGGTGTTAACCCCACTATTAGCCCTAACACTGAGGTCACAAACTGGTTGACCACATGCCTCTGGACATTTTTTACTAGGTTTGCATTTTTTTAATTAATTTAGTTGTGAGCAATTAAAAATCAGATTTCTAACTTTTCTTGGAGAATCAGGTGATGTAGCTACACTGGTGCATGACAACACTCAGCTGGAAGGCCTTGACCTCCTTCTTTGCATGGCCCCACCTGTCCAGTCTCAGATGCCTGGCCCATGTGGATGAGTGAGTGGGTAACCCTTGCCTCAGTGCTAAGGGATCTGATTCCCAAAGGCCACTGACCATGAAGAATTGAGGCATGGCTTTCTGGAAAACCCAGAGATCCTGCCCATCCTTCCCGGAACCCAGATATTCAGACCCTATGCATCTGCCTACACTTGACAATGACATGACCCCCTACCCCTATACCTGCTACTTGTCTTCAGCTTTCCTTCCTAGTGCCCCCCTTTCCAGTTCCGAGGTCCTTCCTCACCTCATGATCCCCACTACCTGCTCACCCTGCAGTACCCAGTCAGCTGTGGCTCCTCCCAAGCCAAGCAAAGCCTAGCAGGAGCAGCAGCAAAGTGGAGACAGTAGCCAGCTTCATGTTCCTGTGCTTGTCAGGGCCCCAACCCTCAGCCTGGGCTTTTATTCCAGGGAGGATCTGCCACCCTGCTCCTTCTTTGGTGACTCACAGCTTCTCTCTCCCACTCCACTCCCACTCAGAGTTGCATAAAGGAAAGTGGGAAGGAGGGAGGCACCCTTCCTCAGCCAAGAGGATATGGAACTGGTACAGAATGTGCAAGCCATTGCCAAGAACCCAGAGCCCCACCTCCCAAGGGATGAGCTTCCTGACCCTGAAACAAGAGGTTCTGCCACCCTTACCTCAATAATTGCTTTCCAGTTCAAGAAAGGAGTGTTGTGTTTGAAATCCTGGAGGAAGAAGGAGAGATGAGTGGGCCACATGGAGACAGAATTCAGAGGGTGCATGCAGCAGCTCACTGGGAAAGTTTCAAGACCACATACAAGAATGGGTTTAGGAGCCCAGGTTTGGTTGAAGGTAGATGAAGATAAGCTTATTAAGGGTGTTAGAATTCCTGGTGGTATTAGTGATAAGATTTGGGTGATAATACCTATCTCAAAAATAAAAAGAGGGAGAATTTTGTGAAAGGTAGGCTCAAACTGGGGGTTGGCTGCCTTGAGGGAGGTGGAGAGAGAGACAGGATGACCAGGATCCCAGTTTTTTAAAACAATGATAATTGTCCTACCTCCCAAAGTCGACTGAAGTAGAGGAGGGCTCGAGTGCTGGGAGATGGGAGTTGGCCCTGTGGATGAAAAGTGGGGAGCAGGTTAGCAGGGAGTCTGACGCCCTGATCGCCTAAACCCCTACTCCCGTTCCCAGCATTTTTCAGTCTTCAGAATTGCGCTCTGGCAAAGGTTTGGAGGGGACGTGGGGGGCGGGGGAAGCTGGGTATCTTTAAGGACTAGAAAACTATTTTTGCAAGTGGAAGAAGAGAGAAACTAGATCTGTTGTGTCATTAACCACTTTCCCGCCCCTAGTACATACAAAGTGTTCTTCTCTATCCCATTTCTCCCTCCTGTGGCTGAACGTAACTGCAGCAAAACCTCAGGATGAAGACCTGCACTCAGAGCTTCCTGCCTTTTCACCTGCCATGCCACCTCCAGCCCATTTCCCAAAGATGTGGGGCTGAAGTCACCCCTTTCCAAGGCCCCCTGGGATAACAGTGAAGATGTAAGAAAAGGGCAGAGGCAAGGAGTGCGGGGCAGCTAAGATTTATTGCAAGGGCAAAGATTGAGATTAATGGAGAGATAGTGTTGTTTTTATAACAGGTGGGAAACTCCCAACCATCTGTCAGCTCTTTGTCTGGAGGTCAAGGGATGGGAAAGCTCCTCTGGTCCTGGGCAAAAAAAAAAGTAGGCTCTAAGAGGGAGCTTGAGGAATAGGACTTCAGGGAGTAATGGGCCAAATCAAGGTTAGATTAGACCCCTGCTTCAGAAATCTGCAGGGACCTTTCTGCCCACTGTTATCATCCAGTAAAATTCATTCCAGCTTGGGCTTGAAAACCCCCATACCTTGCCAGGAATGTTATGTATAGTCCCCCTGTCTTCACTCCTCACTCCGGAGGAAGTCTTTAGGCCCTCATCTCTGACTATGAAGGAGATGGAGCTCACCATTCTCTTCCCTGCCCAACTCTGTCCTGCCTTTCTTCTGAGATCTACTCCTCCAGAAAGCCACCCCAAATGAATCCTGCCTATTTGCAAGCATGCACTTTACTTCACCTCTGCCCCCGCCAGATCCAGATGTGCAAAAACACTGCTGTCTGTCCTGGTCCCCCTGGGAAGTGTCTGTTTGTGCCCTGGTTCTCCTATTAGACCACAAGTCCCCCATGCTCAGGGGCCTGGCCTCCCCATGATTCATAGTAAAGAGTCTTGCTGCTCCAGAGACTGTCTCTCTAAAACAGAAAGAGTCTATCTTGTTCACTTAGTTTGTGCAAACCAGAACTGTGCTGCATCTGGAAACATCTTTATCTCCTATTTTCCACTCTCTCTGAAGTTTGGGCTGCCCCTTTGGCCCCTCTTACCACCACCTCCTTTTCCCCACAAGTTTTGGGAAGCAGGATCCTAGTCTCCAATCTTTTACGCTAAGAGTTAGAAACTCAGCCACACACAGGGGTCGGTCAGGTGCTGGGCAGGGGGAGTTTGGCTGCTGGAGAGCAAGCCCCATTGCAAGAAGCAGCTGCTACTCATTTCAGTTTATGTAGCCCATGGAAAGGGGCCCTGTGTTGCCAATTTTTTCAAGAGCAGTCAGAAATCCAAGTCAGTTTGTGAGGTCTATCAATTTTTAAACTTTGGCAACTAATTCAGATTTTTTTTAATGGATCAAACAAAACATTTCATTGGCCTGCCAATCACAGCTTCCACCTTTGGTATTTGCTTGGGTTGTCTGTCCTCATCCTCTCTCTCCTTTTAGTCCACTCCCTCTACTATTCTGGTGTTACGTCACCCTGGCCACAGGCTCCCCTACAAGAGAAAGGGGTGGGCAGGGAGGAAGAAGAAAGGGATCCTAGCCTCCAAGTGTCCCCTAAGATTATGTATGTACAGGGCACCCATCAGGCACTCAGCAGATACTCACTTCTTCTTTCTTCCTCTCTGTGTCAGTCCTCATGTGGCCTTTTAGCTCCACCTGACTATTCAGTCAACCCCTAACTCTGGCCTCTGCTGCTTCTCTGGTTTTTTGAGGATTACACCTACTTGTTCTCCCATTAACCTTCAGGTCTCAAAGGGGAAACCATGGTTCAGGCCTGTCTGGGTCTGCACATTAAGATGTGAAAGAGGCTCATTCATTTCTCATCCCCAACTCCCAACTGTTTGCAAACTCTCCCTCTCTTTTTAGATCTCTGTTTTACTTCCTCCTGTTTGTATTTTTTAAAGCACTTGTCAAAATGCTCTTCATTGCCATCATCATTATTTCCTTAGTTCACCAAGCAGAGGTTTAGCTTTCTTCTCTATATTCTTCTCCCACAAAGATCGAATGGCATGGCCTTCCAGCCCTTACCTGGTTTATTGCATCCCAGTTAATGAAACCCAGCTTGGATTTAAAGTTCTGCAGGAAAAAAAAAATGAGACTGGCTAAATTGGCTGATAATGTAATTGGCACAGAGCCTCAAGATGAGAGAGGTCAAGGGTCACCACTGAAGGTTATAGAAAGAGGACTTCATCCTGTAGGAACAAGGGACAGGGTTCTGGTTTTCCAAGAAAGAATAAGCAGAGCAGTGTTGCTGAACTCACCTTCCAGAAAGTGTCGAAGTCAAAGAGCCCAGGAGATGTCTGAGAGTTCTAAGGAACCAACAATAAACAGAAATGAGAGCAAGAACCCATTCTGTGAGCATGAGGCAGGGGCAGGAGCTATGGGTGTCTGGAGGGTCCCAGTCCCAGGTGGGGTGATGTCACCACTCACCAAGTTATTGATTCCACTGACAGCTTCATCTCCCCCACTGGACCCTTGTCCCTGGATGGGGAAAAAGGACACTTATGTTCAAGGCTTATACATTTTGTCATGCATACCATCCATCAGCTTACTCCTGGCCCACTCATCTTTGCCTTTGCTCCAGCACCATGTACCATCTGTAAAGCCACCTCTCTTCTTTACCGAGCACCTAAGAACCGTACCGCCAAAAAGTCTTCCTGGAATGACTCATCACTTGCTTCCTAGAATAAGTCTACCTACTCCCCAATGAATAGTCCCACTACTGGCCAAGCCCTGTGCCTTAGCTTGCTATGATCTTTTGTGGAATATGTCTATTTTTTCAAATGAGGAAACTGAAACTAAGAGCTGTCCAGCAGCTTGCCTCAGGATCTCTCTCCACATCAGACTTCAGTGTCTGGACCCTGAGCCCCCTTGGTGGGATTATGATGTAGAAAACTCTGCAGTAACTGGTGGGGCGGGGGGGGCGGCGGTCAGTGAGGAAGCTAGGCTTCACTGGCCCTATTTTACCCAAGAGGAAGGCCAGGCTCAGAGAGGTCCACTGACATGCCTAAGATGCACAGATGGCAAGGGATCCAGCTGGCATTTGAACTCCCATTTTTAACTCAAAGTTCATTTCCTTTCTACTTATCAACACTGCCTTCTTAAGTATGATTTTTAAAAATATCCCCTTGGCCATTCTTCTGCTAGTTTTGTCAGCTTTTTCCCTCATAGAGGTAATACAGCTGTGACTGCAGTTGGAAGGAGGGAGAGAATGGATGAGTCAAGGAGGATCATGGGGCTCCCAGGCCCCTGTGTGGTCTCCTGGTAATCAACCAAGACAGATTCAGAGCAGCTGGCAAGAAGAAACTGGTATTTCTATTTCTTTTTCCAGGCCCTTTGCATTCTGACCCCACAGTCTACCATTCCTTCCCCTAAAGCCATTCCTACTCACCTGATAATTGCCTTGGAAGCCCCCAAGGAGGCGACTACCCTCCTTGCTTGTCTCCTGAGAGAGAGAAAATGAAGAAGAGTTGGTGGGAAACTGGCAGGATGTGGGGTAGAGTAGGTGAAGGATTCCTGTATCAAGGGACTGAAGCGGGAACATGACTAGGGACTTCCCAAGACCCCGAGAGAGGCCCTTCTGTCTGGATAGCTCTGTTTTCCCTGGCAAATTTTGTTCCACCCCCTTGTGGATCAGGTTATTGCTCACTTATAATGCTGATTAGTACCACAACCACCTCTGTTTCTATTCATGTCTACAAGCTGCCCAAAATTCAATAGGAAAGGCCTTTGCCACCAAAGAATTTTCCCCTGGTATTGAAGCAGGAACCAGCCAGGCTGTTGTACTGAACTGATTCAAGCTGCAGGACCAGTCTGGGCTGATGTTTTGCATTGGTCAGAAAGGTGATGCTAGCTGGAGAGTCAGGGCAGCAGAGGTGGTACAGAAGTAGATTGCCTAGTCTCCTTCTATATAGAGGTCAGCTCCTCTAGAGTCCCGCCTTCACTGTTTGGGGTGGATCCCAGCCTGTCATCACCTCTTTGTTCCCAGAGCTAAAATCTGGACCAGGCCAGGATGTGGGACTATCTGCTTTGCTACTGTTTCTGCTGGAGAGTTGACCTCCACCCCCACTTACTGCTGCCATAGTCCCTACTCAAGACATGTTGTCTCCTTACCTTGATGTTGCCAGATCCTCTGGAACCTCCCTGTCCTCTGAAACCCTGAGGGACAAGACAGTGAAACACTGATCATTGTTTTAGATCCTTGGTCCATCCCTGCAAATTTATGTATAACTTAATACAATTCCTCTTAAAGTCCTAATAGAATTTTCTTTTGTAACTTGTCAAAATCATCTTGAAATTTATTTTGAAGAATAAATGACTTAGAATAGGTAAGAGAAGACTGGAAAAGATAAGCAGCAAGGGAGGACTTCTACTGGCAGATATGAGACACTGCAGAGTACCATAAGTGAAGCAGTGTGGTTCCTGTCCCAGAGCAGATGAATCGATTTAACAAAATAGAACTCCCAAATGCTCTGAGCTCCCGGAAGCTCTCCTTGAATATTAAGGTATTTACAAATGATATTTTAAATCAGTAGTAGAAATGATTCAATACACGGGGCTCCAATACCAGTTAAGTTATTTGGGGCAAAACTTATTTATAACTTACCAGTTTCCTCCCTTCTGTTTTTTATCTGTTTTCCCCTCATGAGGGAGCATACAGATCTGATCTGAAGTGTAGGGTCTGCCTAGTTGGATTGAGGAGTGGGACTAGATAGTGCGCAGCAAAGTAAAGCCCAGATGGATTAAAGAGTTAAATTTAACAATGAAATTACAGAAGTATTGGTAGTGCTAGAAGAAAACAAAGACTTTTATTATCAAGAGTAGAAACCATAGAAAAAGAGATTTTGGTATGAAAAAAACTAAAAATAGAGTTACAAACTGGGAGATTTCTTAAAACCTATCTACCCATAAAAGGTGAGTATCTGCAATATTTTAGGAGCTCTTCAGAGAGCCTTGTGGACATAGCAGCATAGGGTCGTGGTCCTCTCCCTGCAGGTGACTCTCACACCAGGGCACAGAGCAGCAGCAGCAGCAGCCTCACCCAGACCTTGTTAGAAACCAGAATCTCAGCCCCACCCCAGAGCTGCTGAACCAGAAGCCCCATTTGCGTAAGACCTCTAGGTGATTCGTGTGGACATTACTGTAACATTTCCTCTGTCAGTGTTGCAGGCACTGGTATAGGTCTGTTTACAGGCACTGGTATAGGTCTGTTTACAGGCCAGGTATAGGTCATTTGAAACGATTGTGTTTCTGAAAGGACTGGTTTTTATACAATGTTTTCACAGCCCCATCTATGTTATAAAGTGGGATATTCCCATAGAATTTGCAATTAATTATTACTTTGGAGATTGTTAGTAATTTTATGAGCTTGATTTCTCCCCCTAAATTGTAAATTGGGGCTGGGATGGAGGTTAGTGTTAGGAGTGGGGCTGAGCAGAGTTGAGTTAGGAGGAGTGGGCAGCTGCCGTGATGAACTATTATAGCAGGGGTGTCAAACTCATTTTCACCAGGGGCCACATCATCCTTGCGGTTGCTTTCAAAGGGCCGAATGTAATTTTAGGACTGTATAATGTGACTGCTCCTTAACTAGGGGCAAGGAGCTTCGTGCTGCCTTGGGGTAGAAACTAGGTGCTGGGCCGGATAAAACAAGGTAGAGGGCCGGATTCAACCTGAGGGCCTTGTGTTTGCCACCTGTGAACTATAGTAACCACAAGTTTGACTCTCACCTGACCCCCAGATCCTCCAGATACTCGGACTTCATTCCCTGGGTTGTCACACTGTGGGAGGGAGAAGGAGACTTACTCTCAGTCCCTACCCAGACACCAATTCCGGCCTTCGAACTGCAGCTGTTTAACGCCAAGGCTAACCCACATCAGCCCCACCTCAGCAGCAGTCCACCCCCCATTCTCAGTCCCAGCTGTCACTGTCCCATCATTTGAGGGGCCCCTTATTTTCCTTCCCATGGTCTGAGGAGGATCTGTGCAGGTGTGAACACTAGAACTCACGCCAGGTTTATTTCCACTTCCTCCGCTGCTACCTGAGGAAGAGCTCGTATCATGTTCCTGTAAGAGAAAACAAGGAGTCCAGCTTGTGTCTTAGAACCACTTGGAAGGAACCGAAGAGATCCAGCCACGTTGTGTGTGCTTGCGTGTGTGTGTGTTTAACCCCCCTCTTCCCAACCTCCATTCCTTCCCATCTTCAGCCAGTTGTTCACTGAGGGAAGTTTTTGGGAGCACAGAGAAGGCCAGGTGTGGCCAAGTATACATGGAAATGGGGGATAATTTGCCAACTCTGAGCTCCCCACTTCTCACCACATGCCAAGGGTGAAAAGGCCCCTGGAGCCTAACTGCACAGAAGCCGTGACACTGAGACCAGAGGGCAGGCTGGGGCCTATTCTGCCTTGCCCCTGTCTTTCCTCTCTTCTCACCCTCTCCTGGACCTAGGAAGAGGGAGGGCCACTAGAAGAGAGCCTGATCAAACTTCCTAGAATTTTCGAAGGGTCACTCTTAGATGGAGTAAAAGCAGGTAGCACAAGGAGCAGTATATTAAAGCAGCTTATGTTACCTGGCTTGTTCTAGTAGTTTCCCTCCTCTTGCATGACACCCTTCTCAGACCCCTAAGGAAGCCAGCAATGCTCTCTCTGCAGGGCCCCTCTTGGACCTGCCCCCTAATTCGGCTGCCAGGTTGTGGCCCCCTCCTGGCCCTTTTGTCTGTGGTGGCAAGGCTTCATGTGTGCATTCTATATTTATTAGTTCATCCATGCCATAGCTCTGTAAATGTCCTTAAGTCTCCACCAGTGTGGGCCTGCCCCCATTCTTCGGGGAACTTCCCTAACAAGTATCGTATGTTTCTGTGCCCACTTCTGTTCTTCCATTTGTCACCCCCAGCTGTAGTCAGAGTTGCCAAGTTGCCCCGACTTCAGGAATAGGGTGACAGGAAATAGTCTCCTCCATGATGGAGCAGAGATAAGGGACAGAGTGAGGGAAAGGAGGGAAGATACCTCTTCTGGAAAGAGTAGAGTGCATATCTAAGGAACCCTGCTTGGTGGGGCTGGGTAGGTGGGGAACAGAAGCTGAAGGAGCCACAGGATGACAACTGCCAGTGACGTTACCCGCGCCACCCACGCCCAGGCTGGCAGCTTTCAGGAAGACCTTGGAGCGCATCTCCTCAGCAGGGACCACCAGGGGCCTCAGCCCCATCTATCCTTCAACAAAGGAGCAGAACTCACCCAGTTGCCCCCGGAACTGCTGCTGCCGCCGCGGCCACCGCCGCCGCCGTTGCCACCACCGCCGCCGTTACCACTGCCGCCGCTGCTGCCGCCGCCGCTGCCGCCGCCGCCGCTGCCGCTGCCGCCGCCGCCGCTGCCGCCGTTGCCGCCACCGCTGCCGCCACCGCTGCTGCCACCGCTGCCGCCACCGCTGCTGCCACCGCTGCTGCTACCGCTGCCGCCGCCGCCGCCGCCGCTACCGCCGCTGCTGCCACCACCGTTACCGCCGCTGCTGCTACCACTGCTGCTACCACTGCTGCTGCTCCCCTGAGGGGCAGGAACAGACCAGAGCGAGGACTAAGAATGAGAACGCCAGCACCGCTTTCCTCCCTCCCCTTGCGCTCCTGCTTGGCATAATCCCCGCCCAGTCTGAGGGACGCAGAGTTTCTGTTTTCTCCCTGTGCCAAATGCCTCGGGTTGCCCATCCTCTTACCCAAGAGTTGCTAGAGCTTGCATCTGAACCAGAGGGCGGGGCGTTGGTGCACTGCAGAGGAAATGGGGCAGGTGAGTTTTAAGATTTCAGTTAGAGCTGTTGCCACAGGCCAGGCTCTCCTTCTTACAGCTTTACTTTCTTTCCTCACGCGTATCTCCCCCATCCCCATCTGATTTATATCCCTCTCTGCCTTGTCTCTTGCTCACGTGCATCTCTTTCCTGGCCAGTCTTGCCTCTTACCTCAAGCTCTGCCTTCCCCATCTTTCTTTCCTTTTTGTCTCTCCCACTTTCTGTCACACACACCCAGACACCCTCTTCTTCCCCAGACTCTTCTTCTTACCTCCATATTTGGGTTGCTGTTTCCCCTCACTGAATCATAACCGGGTTGAGCCACAGCTCCCTGCAGGGAGGGTGAGACTGAGTGTGGGGTCCAAAGATTGAGGGAGGGGTGGAGAGTGTGGGCTTGAGGGAGGGAGGCTGCAGGATCCGGGCTGGGGTGCTTTACCTGAGCATTGGTCCCCAAGTCGTATGGCCCTCCATTGCCTCCCTGGCCCCAGGAACTTCCCTGAGAGTTGGTTCCAAAGTTGCCATCTGAGCTTCCAGAGTGTCCATGGCCCCAGGGAGTCCCTGGACCTTCAGGATTGCCCTGGCTGTGGGATCCCAGGCCACCCTGAGAACCAAAGATGCCATGGCCTCTGGATGGAGGCTGACCATTGGTTCCCTGCAAGGACAACATGCATGCGCTTAGTGTATGTGACTTTCTCACTCTGTGATGGGAGTAGGGTGGGAGCCAGGCAGAGAAATTAAGAGAGGAGCCAGAGAAGGGTATAGGGAGAGGCAGGTAGAGACCCCAAAGTGATAGAGGAAGCATGCATAATATGGAAGAAAACTGCCCCAGACAGTCACAAATAAGAGACTCCTTCCTCCTTTCAACTGATCCCCAAGATTCTCAACCCAGCTGCACACAGCCTCCCATTTCCACACCCAGCTTCCTTTCAGCCACTCACCCAAGCACCATTGTTGCTGGGCATCCCTTGCCAGGAGCTGTGGGCAGCATCTATTCCATGTCGAATAATATTCTCAGTCTGTCTGCCAGCCTCACTCCCAGTGTCTCCAAAAGCATGGGCTGCTGCTTCAACACCCTGGCGGATGGCCTCACCCACCCTGTGGCCGAAGGCATCGCCCATCCCTGGGCCCATGGCCTCCTTGATTCCAGAGCTGGCTGCCTCTCCAACCCCTTGGCCAATGGCCTCCCCAATACCTGTTCCAGCATTTGCCCCTCCACTTAGCAGTGGGCCAGCCTCCCCACTGCCCAGATACAAGGCCAGCAGGAGGCAGGCCAGGGACCCCTGTAACTTCATCTCTGCCTCACTTCCCACCCAAGTTTCTTTCTGTTGGCCCTTTTTCTTCCTCTGAGTATGTGTGCCCTCCTCCGTTTTCTTCTTCCTTCTGACTTCTTATTTTCCCTCCCTCTAGGTCTGCAGCCTTCTCTCTCCTTTCCCCAACTCCCCTGCCTTCCCAGAGTCCTCCACCCTGCCACTACTCCTTATAACATAGCTTGGGAGAAGGTGACAGGGCTGGGCAGCCCAGAGTCCCTCCCCGCACTGACTCAGGGCCAGCCACCGATAAGGTAATGAGCTGTAATTGTGAGTCTCAAGAGTCTGTGTTGAAACAGAGAGGGAGCTTGTGCATCAGGAGGGAGGGAGGGAGAAATGGAATGAGATGGGTGCAAAAGTGTTCCAATTTCCCAATCCCAGGAATTTGGGGCACAGGGTGGGGATGGGGGCATCTGAAGAGATAGGCTGTTGGTGTCTCCTACAGGCAGCAGGTGGAAGGGAGTCACAAGCTGGGCCCTGCCAGCCGGGCAAGGATAGGGAACCAAGTAGAACAGGGCCCACCCTAGGTGTAAGCCAGCCTAGGTCAGGGGCCCTTTCTTGGCCTTTCTCTCAGTTTCAGCTGGCCTTTGCCTCTCCCATTTCTCTCCTCTCCCATGCTCTCTCCTAAAGGTGTGGAAGAGGCCCTCACCCTCTTCAATACCTTCTAGTCTACAGAGAGCCTGGGAGCTGTGAGATTGGTCTCAGTTCCCAGTAAGGACCCCAAACATCTGGGAAGGAAGTGGTCACACCTCTGAGAGTGGTCATCAGGGTGTCTTAGTTAGCATCCTGGTGGCTCTTAGCTGAGGAAGCTGGGTGTGGAGCAGTGGAGCTGGGCGGGCCAGCCACCCCCAGGGAATGAGTAGGAGGGAAAGACCTAGAGAGGGAGTGGTTGACCCAGGCAGCCATCCTGTTTATCCATAATGGAGGGGACATGTTTGTGAGTTCATGGCCTTCTGGGAGGGCTGGGATGGTACCAGCTCACCCCACCCAACCCCCAGCCTCCCCCAGGGGCCAGGAGGGCACTGGCAAGGGAAGAGGAGTTAGCTCAAGGGCAGGAGCCCTAGGTCAGCAACATAATACTCTCCTGGGTCTCAGCTCAGGATGTAGAACTCAGGCATCCTCCCCAGGTCTCATCCCTGCTTAGCAAGCATGGCTGCCTCTATACTCCCAGGAGTCCCAGGCCCTCCCACTTGCCACTGTTTTGTATCACTGTGATACATCACTCAGTTAGGAGGGGCCAGTTTCCATCTGCCTTTCTCAATGTCTCCCAGTCAGTCTCTCTCTCCGCCCCAACACCCACACCCCAACTTGTAACATTCAATACCTCTTACCATGTAAACAAAATCCCTGTCTGTCCTCAGCTGCTCCTACCTCCCTGTTATTTCTGACTCTAATGATGATAATAAATGGTGATGGTAATAATAATAATAATAATAATAATAATAAATTGCAGCTCCAGTCTGTAAAAGGCTTTCTATGTGTCCAGCACAGGAGTTTAAGCACTTTAAAGCTCTCTCAGCCCTGGAGATCAGTCTTCTTACCCTGTTTAGAGATGGAGAACTTGAGGTTCAGAGAGCACATGTGAATGTGCGGTGGGGCCAAAGCCCAAGCCCAGCCTGCCTTCATGTCTAAGCCCTGACCTCCAGTATTTTCTGTCACCTCCATGTCTCAGACCTCCCCCTGCTTTTCAAAGCCCTCATTCTTCTTTGGATAGAATCAGTTTTGGTTTTGCACCACACCTTGTTGCAGGGCGGGAAGAGGAGGGAAAAGTATATCTGGGGGCTCCAGAATTGGTGATGGAGACACTAGACCTATTCCCACTTCCCCAGGACAGGACTGCAGGCAGCAGGCAGACCGCTTGCTAAGACTCCTTCCCACACTTCCCTCACGGGACACCTCCACAATGGCATGTAGCTGCCCTCTCCCTCCTCTATTACTAATATTTTTCTTTAAGCTAGCTTACTTTCTTAATATATTTTAAGAATATTTTATATTGCTGCTGAAAGTGGAAAGCCAGAATCACTTGCCCATAAATAGAAAATACCGGGAAAACATAGTGAGAAACAAATGGTATTACATTATACATGGCTGCAGTTCCTGCATCCTCTTTGTTAAAAAAGGGAAATTAGCAAGTATGAGAGAGATATTCAAGGCACGCTAGCATGGAAATTGAGTCTTCTTTTTTAACATAGTCAGAAGATTTAAAAAAAAAATGGAGAAAAGAGTTTCTCACTGCATGGTTCAGACTACGTTTACAGACCACCTAAATTCTCCTTTGCCACCAGCAGTCCCATGTTCTACCTTTGGAGAAAAACTGCCCTCAGACATCTCTGGACCTGAGGAGTCACCTGAAATCAGTCTTAAGGCGCAGTTATTAAGTATCCATCATGAACCCCATAAAAGATGGGGTGCTTTCACATTCATGATCTCATTTAATCCTCACTATAACCTGAGGTGGATATTATTTCCATTTTACAGATGAGGTAACTGAGGCCTAGAGTGTTAAGTGCATACACAAAATCATATGTAAAAAAGATTATGGTAAAATGGAGTTGTCAGAATTTGACCCAAGTCTGTCTGACTCCAAACAGCTTTTTTCCTACATCACCAAGCCTCCCTTGTTTTAGCATCCACAAATCTGACATGCCTACATCATGTGCAAGACCTTCTGGTTTTAGCTTATCTCTCTAATTTACTTCTTTATTTATTCAACAAATATTTACTGAATATCTACCCTGTGTCATGCCTGTTCGAGGCACAGGGGATAGATACCACATGGAACAAGTTCATCAAAATCTTTTTCCTTAGGGAACTCACATTCATCGTGGGTTTAGTTGGACAGTAAACATACCAGGTGGTGATTAGCATTGTGAAGAAAAACACAGTGGAGTGAAGGAACAGAGAAGAGAGGAGCCAGAGAAGGGTATAGGAAGAGGCAGGTAGAGACCCCAAAGTGATAGGGGAAGCATGCATAATATGGAAGAAATTTTAAACCAGGTGGTCAGGAAGGGCTCTTTAAGATGTGATTTATGAACTGAGACCCCCAAAAAGTGAGAGCCTGAGCCATGAGGATATCTAGGGATAGAGTATTCCAACAGAGGGAACAGTAGTGCAAAGGCTCTGAGGCTGGAGCACAGAGAAAGTGGCAGTTGAAATTGAAGAGGTAATCACTTTTTAATCAAATTTATTGGGGTGACATTGGTTAACAAGATCATATAGATTCCAAGTGTGCATTTACATGATATTAGATCTATATATTACAGTGTGTGCTCACCACCCAAAGTCAAATCACCTTTTGTCACCATGTATTTGGCCCCCTTTACCTTTGACTATTCTCCCACCCCCTTCCCTCTGGTAACCACCATGCTGTTGTCTGTGTCTATGCGTTTCAGTTTATATCCCACATATGAATGAAATCTTATGATTCTTAGCTTGTTCTAATTTATTTTGCTTGGAATAATATTCTCAAGGTCCATCCATCCTGTCACAAATGGCAGTATTTCATCTTTCCTTATGGCTGAGTAGTATTGCATGTATATATATGTATCACACCCTCTTTATCCAGCCCTCTATTGAAAGACACTTTGGCTGTTTCTATGTCTTAGCCACCATGAATAATGCTGCAATGAATATAGCAGTGTATATATCCTTGCAAGTGAACTCATGTTTTTGAGTTTTTGGGGTAGATATCCAGAAAAGGGATTGCTGGGTCATATGATAACTCTATTCTTAATTTTTTGAGGAATTGCCAGACTGTTTTTCATAGTGGCTATACCAGTTTACTTTCCCACCAGCAGTTAAGGAGGAATCCTGTTTTCTCTGCAACCTCTCCAACACATATTATTTACCTGTCTTATTGATAATTACCATCCTAACAGGTGTGAGGGTTGTAGTTTTGATTTGCATTTCCCTAATAGCTAGTGAAATTGAACATCTTTTCATATATCTGTTCACCATTTGTATGTCCTCTTGGGAGAGGTGTCTGTTCAGGTCCTCTGCCCATTTTTTAATTGGATTTTTTGTTTGGTGTTGAGTTGTATCAGTTCTTGATATATTTCAAAAAGAGGTAGCCATTGTGAAGACTGACTTTTACTCTGAATGAAGTGGAACCAGCCAAGGGCTTGAAACTGAGGGAAGTTGTGATCTGACTGGGGTGTTAACAGGATTCCTGTAGGGAACACACCGTTATGGGAAGAGGGGAGTACAGAGATCAGGGAGGAGACTTGGGGCAGGTGTGGAGGCTGGACTCAAGTATAGAGAAGAGATGAGGCCTTGCATATGGGCAATGTCTCTGCTCCCTCCTATGGGGTCTGGGTCTCAAAGTGACATCTACTGTCTTACCTTGTCCACAGTGCCTGTTCTGGAGTCTAGGTTGAAATTCTATCTTCACTATTTACTAGCCATGATCTTAATTCATATGTACAACAGTTTCCTTATCTATAAGAGGGGTGAATGTGAAGGTTAAATGAGGTAATTATGAAGAGAGCTTAGAGCAGTACCTGCAACACAGGGCACTCAATATATGTTCTTGCTAGTGTTGGGCACATTAATGTTGTTGGAAGGCTTTCTCGGCAGTTGATTAATTTTGAGACATACACACACACCTCCTGAAAAGGCCAAATGCAGAAACTTGTTTTTAAAGAGGACTTGTTTTGAAGCAGCCCACTCCCCAAGAGCCCCAGGGAAGCATGCCACGTCACTAGCAGAGATCACCAACAGGGAAGTGCTCTTGAGAGAGTCCCACTATCACCACTTCCTAGATTATCAGGCAACTCTCTCCCTTCTCTGAGCTTCAACTTTATCCTCTGTAAGGGGGATAATCATGGTACCTGCCTCACAGGGAGGTTGTGAGAATGGCATGAATCATGTCTGTAAGTGCTTAGCAAAGACATAGTAAGCACCCAACAAAAATGGCTGTGTGGTCCAGCCCAAACCCCTCTCCCTGTTCTGCGTCTGCAGAAACTGGCCCCTCCCATCTTCATTACTCCCTAGCTCAACTCCACCTATCTGTCTCAGCTGCCTCATTCTTGCTCACACTTACCCAAGGCCTTTCCCAGGTCTGCTCAAGCCTCTCCACTACCAGTTGCCAGCCATTTGTGCCTGGCCTTGAGCTCACCTTTTGAATCTCTTAATCTAGAGAGAAAATGGGTATGGAACAAGTAAATATACAACTACACATTGTCATAAGTGCTATGAAGAAAAAATATCAGTGTGCCATGAAAGAATAACAAAGGTAGCCCTTTGTTCAGATTGGGTGGGCAAGATTGCTAAAACCTGAAGGGTGAGGAGAAGCCAACACAAGGGACAAAAGGGACATGGTGGTTTGTACCTCTAATTCCCCTTTACCTTTTCTACCTGCGCCCCACCCCTCCCCCCTCTAGCAACCATCAATTTATTATTTGTTTCTACGCATGTTTCTGTTTTGTTTGTTTTGCTTTTTAGATTCCATATGTAGTAAAATCATACAGTATTTATTTTTCTCTTTCTGACACTTCACTTAGCATAATGCTCTTTAGGTCCATCCATGTTGTCCCAAATTGTCCATCATACTTTAATTAAAATGGAGGGCATATAGAGAATATTTCTAGCACAGGAAACAGCATGCAATGACTCAAGGCAAGAACGTGTTGTGCCTATTCTACTCTTCAAAACCAGCTAAGCTCTTCTTTTCCAGAAGCTTCCCAGGATTGACTCCAGTAAATATTGATTTATTCCATATCTCTTTGACAAACCCAGCAAGAAAATGTGCATATAGATGAAAATCAATGAAAGCTTTTACTTTTTATGAAAGAATGATTCTCTTGAATATTCCCATTTCAGAAGGGAGCCCTCCAATCCATGTGAAATGATATCTAGCACAGAGTAGACTTCAATGTGTGCTATGAATGAATGCTTTTTTTTAATGCAGGAAAGAGATGTCTGAAATTTACTTTGAAATGCATCAAAAATGTTTTGACACATGGCTAGATCCAGAGATGTGTATGCTGGTTGGATGTGTGGTGAAGCAAGCATAGTAAAATGTTAGTGATGGAATCTAAATAGTGGATTTGCAGGTATCCGCACTGAAGCTCTTCACCTTTGTGCTAACTTTGAAATATTTTCAAAATAATTATTGCAGGAGAAAAGAAGGAATATAAGTGATAAAATGATGGTATTCTATAAGTAAGGAAAAATGTAATGAATATAAAGTTCCAGGAACATCACTTTTACCCCCCTCCATCGTATCGTTTAGTTCTTACTGCTGCATTGCCTTGTATTTGTTTTCATATTCTGTTCATGTGTCTTGTCTCCTCAAGAAGTCTATGAATTCCCCAGAAGCAAGAACACTGTCTCTTATTTTTGGTCCCACAATTGATGAAATTTTGAAGCTGGAAGGTGTATTTATAATCTTCTCCTGCAGACACAAGGTCCCTGCTTTATATAGGAGGAAACCGTGGCCCCTACAAGGGAAATAACCTGCCTACAGGCACACAGTCCTGATTGGAATGCAGGTGTCCCAGCAGCAGGGCCAGTGCTTGGCAAGTGTTCTAGAGACTTTATAGGCAGCTGTGAAAGGTTAGGTTCTGGCACTAGAAACACCTGCTGCTTTCTTGTGGGTTACTCTGGGCAAGTGTCCTGGTCCCTCTGAGCCTGTTTCCTCATCCATATGATAGGGATCATAAAAGAACTCTGCCTTTGGGTTGGGGGAGGTTTAAATGGTTACAGAGCATGAACAGCTTTTCTCACAGGACCTAGGACCTAGTAAGTGCTCAGTATAGTAGCTGCTATGATGATTCCACCGGTCTTTGAGTCATCCACAGATCTGAAAACTGGGCCTCCTGAGCCACTATTCTTGTCCTTATAAAGAAGCTCTTCCTCCTGCCATCAGCGTGCCTTCCCTCTGAGCTTTTGGTCCTCCCTGTGAGAGGGTCTCCCGAATGTATCTCTGTTCTCTCTCTTTATTCAGTGATTCCCATAGCTACTGATGCTAAACAAGGAAAGACCCCTTTGTTTGCAGAATATCCCTTGTACCCCTTAGGCTGTTTCTCCCTCCAAATACTGACTATGTGACCTTGGTCATGTTTCTTAACCTGTGCAAGCCTCCACATGCTTCTCAATAACAGTACCTCTTACCTCATGGGTGGTTGGGAGGCTTCAGCAATGTCATGCATATAAAGTACTTGTCAGAGAGCCTAACAGGACTAAATTGTATAATAAATCCAAGTGATCATTGTTATTCCTTTGGTGCAACATCTCCTAAATGAGAATGCTGCCCCATTTGACTCTCCCTGGGTTCCTGACCTCTCTCCCCTGGTGTCTCTGCCCCACCACTGGCCTGAGTGGCTTTCCCTGTGTGACACTCCTCCCAGTGTTCACCATGAACCTGGCACACTAATGAAACATGGTTTTTCCGGTAACCGCTTTCCCAGATCTGATCAGCCTCCAAATCTCCAGCTTAACCCATCCTGTACATCACACTCCCAGCTCCTTCAGCAAAGAAGGAAGAAGAGAAAAGACAAGCCTCCCCACTCACAGCCCTCCTTAGGGAGCATGTGGACCATGATGAGAGTAGGTTGTGTCTTATTTATTCACAAATCTCAGTACCATTCCCATAAGGGACTCCCAAAATCTACCCCAACCCCTATCCCCAGCTTCTTCAAGTCATTTCAGCTATGACAACAGGAACATCAGTCTGCTCAGCAAGGCCAGGCATCAGTTTAGGGAATGATGTTGGCGACGCTCTGGAAGAGAGAAGGAGATAGGGAGTGAATGCAGGGTGTGCAGTCATGGAGGCACTGAAATCTCTGCTCTCACATCTCCCCACCCCTCTGGGAAACAAGAGGGAAGCTGGCTACCTTGGCCAAGAAATTGCCTATGTTCTGGGGAATATCTTAAGGAAGGTAGCACCTAGATTAAGAAAGAATGGGGAGCCAGGATTCATAGGAGAGAGGATGAGGACAGATGGTGGGCACATGGAGGGGATGGTTTCAATCTCCCCTCTTTCCCTGGCTCACAGATATACACACACCCCTGGAGGTCTTTTCTGCCAGCCTATGTTTGCCTCAGTGGGAATTAAAAGTATCCAAAAGATGAAATCAGGATGTGAAGGGCAAGGAATAAATGAAGAAAGGGAAAAGCAGAGCTGGAGAATGTGTTGGATGATCTCTGAAAGGCTGAGAGTCTGTCCACAGTGAAGTTGTCCATGAATAATAAGCAATGCAAAAGAGGGTGTACAAATATCTCCCAAGATAGAGCAGAAAGCTGAAACCATATGGGCACTCACCTGCCACAGAGCTGGAAAGTTGATGAAGGGCTTGTTGACTGAAGCCTAAAATTCAAGGACAAGAGTCAGTACCCAGCATCCATCCCACCACCATCCTAGGAGGGCGTCCACTGCCCCGCCTCCAAGTCCATGCTTTGCTTGGGAGACTTACTCCAGATGTTAATGTTGTGGTTGCGCCCCCTCCGTGATGGACGGTAGATCCGCCTGGATGACCGCCCTGTGGACAAAACCCAGACCATCATTACAACCCCTCAGCCATTGAAGGTCTCCTAAGTTCCTTTTCCCCAGTTACCTACTGCCCTCTAGGATAACTAACCTCCTACCCCCTCACTGTCCAGAAAGAAACCCAAAGGCCCTGTTACCATGGTAATTCTGTGAGAGATGGGGAGAAAAGCCAGGAAGGACATCTTTCCCTACTGACTAATCTTTCCCCAATTCCCTTTTATTTTATTTGAGAGGCTCTTAATCATTGAGAAGAGGCCTGGCTAGAAAGGGAACCCAGAGGACCCATGCAAATACCAGGACCATAATTAACTTCAGCCCTGACCTCAACTCTACCCTTTCTACATATACATGAGCCTGATCCCTAACTTGGGTTGATCCCAATCTTTAATCCTATCCCAGACACTCAGCAGTACTGCAACCCAGAGTCCTATCACAAACCTCCCTCTCCTGCCATCTGTCTCAGAGCCATTTCCCCCTTCATACACACTTTCTACATAGTCCAGGGGTGTCAAACTCATTTCCACTGGGGGCTACATCAACCTCACGGTTGCCTTCAAAGGGCCAAATGTAATTTTAGGACTGTATAAATGTAACTACTCCTTAACAGTTAAGTGAGAGCTTGGCACTGCCACCGGGTAGAAACAAGGTGCAAGGCCAGATAAAACAAGGTGGAGGGCAGGATTCGGCCCACAGGCCTTGCGTTTGCCACCTGTGACATACTCCCTTCCTCCCCACCCACCATTCTTGGCTCACTGCCTGGCAGCCAGTGTGGCTATGGGCTTTGAGGCCTGGGCCAGTCCTCAAGAGGGTGTCCCAAAGAGTCGTCATGAAGATTGAAAAGGAGAGAATTGAGGCAGGCAGGATTCAGCCTTTTATAGCCATGCCCCCTCCTTGGTGCCTGTTCAGCTGTGCATGGTGCTGCTTACTTCTTCTGCCCTCCAGTGTCTGTTCCCTCTACATAATTAGGGATCAGAAATCCTTCACAAGACCTGCTCTGATGGGCCAGTATGGAGGAAGAGAAAGCCTGGACCTGAGATTTGCCAAAGATGTGTGCTAGCCATATGACCTTGGCAAATCCCCTTAAACTTCACTGAGCTCAGGTGTCCTTATCTGAAAATTAGGGAATCGCGTCAACCTCCTTACCTTGACTACCTCAAATTAAACAGAAAAGGGCTTATCTCTGAAGCTATTCCTCATGCTCACACTCCGATATTCTGCATTTTCTCAACACTCATTCTGCTCCCACTGTAATAGATCTTGGTTCAGCAACTGTGTCCTGTTCCCCAGCAGAGGCTTCATGTTTCTCCCTGTAGAACTCCTTAACTAGGAGGGCAGCTCCCTGAAATTGGGGCTGGGTGACATTCATACTGTCTAGTATAAAGCTTTCAGATAAGATGGCTTGATCCATCTGACCAGCTAACCACCAGCTTCTTTGTAAAGAAGGAGAGGAAGAAGGAGGACACAATTATACATCTGCCTAAGCTTCTTTCACCCTGTAAAAGCTACCTGGGCTCCCCAAATAACTCAAGGGTTTAACCTCTCCCTCCCCAATCCCCTTTTCCCCTTTCCCCTGCCCCTGTTCACCTACATTCAGCAGCTGGTTGGCCTCCTTGCCGTCTTGGTTGACCCCATTATGAACATTCTGCTGCAACCTGTCCACCTCCTTTCCAGCCTGGCCAGCAGCATGGTGGACACCTTGGCCAAGTTTCTCCGCTTCCTTTCCAGCCTGGCCAGCAGCGTGGTTGACCCCTTGGCCAAACTTCTCTGCCTCCTTCCCAGCCTGGTTGGCCCCATCGTAGAACCCTTGGACCACTTTGTCTGCTTCCTTTCCAGCCTGTTCAACGGCATGGTGAACTCCCTGGCCAAAATGCTCCTCCGCCTTCCCAGCCTGGTTGACTCCATTGTGGACCCCTTGAACCACTTTTTCCCCCTCTTTCCCAGCCTGCCCTGCAGCATGGTGGACTCCCTGGCCAAACTTCTCTGCCTCCTTCCAGGCCTCATTAACCCCATGGTGGACCCCGTGGCCAAACTGCTCTACCTCCTTCCCAGCCTGGCTGACCCCAGGATGGACTCCTTGGACTATTTTGTCCCCCTCTTTCCCAGCCTGCCCAGCAGCATGGTGGACCCCCTGACCAAACTTCTCTGCCTCCTTCCAGGCCTCATTAACCCCATAGTGGACCCCATGGCCAAACTGCTCTACCTCCTTCCCAGCCTGGCTGACCCCAGGATGGACTCCTTGGACTATTTTGTCCCCCTCTTTCCCAGCCTGCCCAGCAGCATGGTGGACCCCCTGGCCAAACTTCTCTGCTTCTTTCCAACCCTCATTAATGCCATGGTGAACCCCCTGGCCAAACCTCCCTGCCTCATTCCCAGCCTGCCCTGCAGCATGGTGGACGCCCTGGCCAAACTTCTCTGCTTCTTTCCAACCCTCATTAATGCCATGGTGAACCCCCTGGCCAAACCTCCCTGCCTCATTCCCAGCCTGCCCTGCAGCATGGTGGACCCCCTGGCCAAACTTCTCTGCTTCTTTCCAACCCTCATTAATGCCATGGTGAACCCCCTGGCCAAACCTCCCTGCCTCATTCCCAGCCTGCCCTGCAGCATGGTGGACCCCCTGGCCAAACTTCTCTGCTTCTTTCCAACCCTCATTAATGCCATGGTGAACCCCCTGGCCAAACCTCCCTGCCTCCTTCCCAGCCTGCCCTGCAGCATGGTGGACCCCCTGGCCAAACTTCTCTGCTTCTTTCCAACCCTCATTAATGCCATGGTGAACCCCCTGGCCAAACCTCCCTGCCTCATTCCCAGCCTGCCCTGCAGCATGGTGGACCCCTTGACCAAACTTCTCTGCTTCTTTCCAACCCTCATTAATGCCATGGTGAATCCCGTGACCAAACTTTTCTGCCTCCTTCCCAGCCTGCCCTGCAGCATGGTGGACCCCCTGACCAAACTTCTCTGCTTCTTTCCAACCCTCATTAATGCCATGGTGAATCCCGTGACCAAACTTTTCTGCCTCCTTCCCAGCCTGCCCAGCAGCATGATGGACCCCCTGACCATACTTCTCTGCTTCCTTCCAGGCCTCATTAACGCCATGGTGAACCCCCTGGCCAAACCTCCCCGCCTCATTCCCAGCCTGCCCAGCAGCATGGTGGACCCCCTGGCCAAACCTTCCTGCCTCACTTCCCGCCTGGTTGACCCCATGATGGACCCCCTGAATCACTTTGTCTGTCTCCTTCCCAACCTGTCCAGCAGCATTGTTCACGCCATGGGTAAGCTTCTCTGCTTCCTTTCCTGCTTGTCCGACGCCATTGTTGATCCCATGGGCTACCTTGTCCAAGCCGTGGTTGAGCCCCTGGACGCCCTTGTCCAGCTCCTTGCCGGCCTGGCTCCCCATGTTGCTAAGTCCATTAAGAACTTTCTCCACTTCCCTTCCAGCTTGAGTGATTCCATTGTTGATGCCTTCCAGGGCCTTGCCCACCTCTCTCTCTGCATTGCTCAGCCCTCGGTTGATCCCTTCAATGACCTTCTCAAGGGGGTCATTACTGGCTGCCCATCCAGGCAGGGCCCCCAATAGCAGTAGGAGGGAGCAGGAACTGACCAAACTGGCAAGATGCATATTGTTAGGAGGGTAGAGAAGATGCAGAGAGGAACCAGCAAAGCCAGGCTGCTATTTATCCTCTGCCTCCCTCCCTCTTCTCCACCCCTCATGACTCAGTTACCTCCGTGAGGCACTGACTTGGTCCCCAGTCAGGGAGGTATTTCCCAGGGAGATTTGGGGTTGAGCAATGGAAAGGAGGAGGAAGAGAGGGTGAGTCATGAATGAAGAATACTCACATGGCATCTTTGCTCTTTGCCCAGCTCGGGCCCTCCACCCCAGAGCCTAGATGTCTGCCCTTCCAACCACCTCCTCTTTTCATTCCTCACCCACTAGCCATGTCTCCTCTCTCCCAATCCCACCTCCCCCACCCCCATCCCTGGTTCCTCAGCATCTTCACTCTCATGGAATCAAGGATCCAGATTCCAAGCACTAAGATTCTAGAAAGATGGGAGGTGTAGTCAGGGGAAGGGAGCACTTTCAGGGAGTTGAGGGAATCATCAGATCTTGTATTTATTATTCTTCTTGATTCCCCTACTATTTAGAATGATCCAGCTACTTAGGATTTCTCCCTTATCCTCAAATACACCAAGCTCATTCTTTCCTCATGACATTTGCACTTACTGTCCTCTGTCTGATATGTAGAATTCAGACCTTCGCATGGCAGTTTCATCATTCTGTCTTTGGCTCAAATGTCACCTTCTCAAAAAACCTTCCCCAGTTGTCCCCAATTATACTCTGTAATATCCTTTGGTTTTTATAGCACTTACCACAGTCAAAAATTACCTTTTTATTATCTGTCTGACCTATAAGCTTATAAATGTCCAGAGGACAGGGCCTTTGTCTGTTGGTTGCTGCTATATCACCAATTTCTACCACATTGCCTGGAGTTCAGTAAATATTTACAGATTGAGCAAATGAATGGATTAGAAGAAACCAAGGAAAGAGAGGCTAGGCCTGGGCCTGAGTCTCAGAGGGTGCCAGGGAGGGGGGAGAGGGTGCCTGGGTCCTCAGAGGGTACTAGGGGGAGAGTTGCAGGTTGTGAGGCCAGGATCACATTCTCATCACAGAACCTTAGACTCCTGCCTCCCAGCCCTTGGGCAAGGGCAGGGGGCCGATTGCCATGAGCTGGGACAGGACGCAGTGTCTCCTGAAAAGCCGGTTGAGGCAGCCATGGGGAGGAGCTGAAGACCCAGAGCAACAGGAAACTGTCAGCCAGAACCTGGGCTGGGGGCCAGGATCTCATTCTTCCTCACTGCCTCTCCCTGGAGACTCATTAGTGCCCACCTGAAGCCTAGTATTGAAATGGCAGCATGGGTTGGAGGGGGAAACAGCTGGGAGTTTGAGCTAGGTATGAAGAGGTGTATCAGGAGGAAGGGCAGGTGGTGGATGGTGGATCTGTGGCAGAATACCTATCTGGAGCTAGTTTAGAGGGATGCACACACCAGAAGGACAAGAACCAGTGGGTGGGTACAGTTGGGCGCAGGGGTGAAAGATATTTGGGTTTTGGTGCCAAGGGGAGAGACTGAGAGAGGGGGTGGAGGTGGGATTGCTAGTGGGAAGGCCAGGCAGGAAAGAATGTGCAGGGTGTGAGCAAGTAGAGGTGGCAGAGTTATGTGTGTGGGTGCCAAGGTGTGGTGAGAAACTGCACGTGTTTTCAGGCTTTGCTCAAACAAGGACAACAAGGCCCACTCCCCTTGGAGGACCCAGAGTTCCACCTAGATCCTGAACACTTGGCTTTACCCAGAACCAGGCATCCCAGACCCAGAGGCCCAGGAGCTTCTGCCTTCTCTGGGCTGTCTGTAGAGGGTGAGTAATTGTACCACCTCTCTACACTTCAGCTCATCAAATCTGTTTCCTAGTTTCACGCTCCAGGGACAAAGCCAAGTCCCTGGGCAACCTCAGGTGTGGCTTTTCTGCTCTGTCCAGTGCCTACATCAGGGAGTTTCCCATGCAGGGAGATTGCTGGGTGGGGAGTTCCAGAATCCTAATCCTCCCTGAGGTCGACAGGTACAATTTCTCCATTTCTCTTTCCACCCTTGTCTGCCCCATCCTACCGTATCTGTCAGCCTCTGTCCACCTCCTTGGTGCTCCATTCCCATTGGCCACTGTTGGGTTCAGAACTTTGGCATCTTTCTCTGTGATTCTCTGCCATCCTCTGCTGGTTTTGGTAACAGTGGCTGTGCTGCTGTCCTCAAGGAGCTTTTAGTCACTGAGCCATCACAGCTCCCCCAAAGCACTCCTAAGAAGTTTGCCATGAAGGTACCACAGTGTGCTTGCCAATCCACGGGGCCCCTGAGCACATGTGCTGTCCAAGAGCCTCTTTGGACAGGAGCTGCCATAGGCTTTCCAGCTCTGGTTAGGATCTGCTGCACTTCCTATGAACTGGGAAATACTTGCTCCCAACGCTTTGGCAGATCTTGCCATAAAATCAGGATCTTAATCAGTCTTGGGGAGGAGAGGGCTTAACTCTCTGTTTCATGTTATTGTCCTACTCAGATTTGCCATTTCTTTTTGTACCAGTTTTAATCCTTTATATTCTCTAAGAAATATTTTAATTTCATCGAGCTTTGCATATTTATTATTGTAAAGTTGTACAAAGTCAGTCCCTTTTAAGTCTTGGTTTTATTTGTGTGGTCTCCCCCTGCCCTGATGATACATATAAAATTTGTCCCCCTTTGTTTAATTACTACCTTTTTCTGGCCTTGGTTGATTGAAATCTGCCCATCTATATGTACACCCAGTTTAGTTTCAGTTCCACCTCTCCTAGGCCATCCAAGCAGGAAGGCCTCGCCCTCAGCCTGTCCCATGACAGGTGCTTAGCAAACTGAGTACTCATGGAGGTTTGGGGAAGAGGTTATGCCATTGTGCCCCTTCTTGCTTCCACACCTCTCTCTGAGATGATGACTCCTTCCTGGCCCAAATCCCTACACCCCTAAATCTTGATCACAGCTGTGTGTCAACTGGCCCTGCAGGTGAAGGTGCCTGCCTGTGCAAACAAGCCCCCACCCCCAGTGCTTTATGGGAAAGGAGCCATCTGTCCATTTGTTCCTCCTCAAATATGTAAGCAAGCTTTGCTTTGTGCCAGACACAGTTCTAAGTGCTAAAGGTCTAGCAGTGAATAAAATTGTGGGAAAGACAGTGAACAAGTAAATCATAAATAGATCATGACAAACTACATGAAAAGCCACAAGAATGGGGTTCTGTGAGAGGATATGGCTTGGAGGTTGCTTTAAGAGTGGGGATCACCCTGGCTGGTGTGGCTCAGTGAATTGAGGGCTGGCCTGCAAACCAAAGGTTCACAGGTTGGATTCCCAGTCAGGCCACATGCCTGGGTTTTGGGTCAGGTCCCCAGTAGGGGGCACACAAGAGACAACTACACATTGATGTTTCTCTCCCTTTCTTTCTATCTCCCTTCCCCTCTGTCTAAAAGTAAATAAATAAAATCTAAAAAAGGGTGGGGATCAGAAAAAACCTGAGAGGTGACATTTATTTATTCATTCTGGTATTATTGAGTACGCACCTTTTAAGTGCCAAACATTCTTCTAATCAATGGGATAGAAAACTGATGACTTAGACAAGCACTGTGCCCTGTCTCTAGTGAGTACAATTAGTAAGAAAACAAATGAATGAACAAGATGATTTTTAGAAAGAGACATATGCTGTGAGGAAAATGAAAATAATAGAGTGTAACTCTGGAGTGGTTTTGCACATTGGAATATATAACCCAGGATGGGAAGTCAGACAAGGCTTTCTTGAAAGGTGAGTACATTGAGGGGGTGAGAGTGATGGCAGGTAGTGACTGGGAAAGGAAAGAATATTCAACAGGGAGTCAGGAGGACCTCTTTTAAAGGGTAACACCTAGGGAAACCAAGAGGCAGCCAGCTAAGGGGAGGCTTTGGCAGGGCTTCCAGGCCTAAAGGAACATTCAGGGTAACTATGAGGGGTGGGGTGTGAGCCCAGGAACGGCATGGAGGCAGTGTGGAGAGGGCTTTGTGTATTGGTACAAAAAGTTGCATTCTATTCTAGACACCAGCTGAGGCCTCAGAATGGTGGTACACAGCAAGCAGATGGCAGAGGCGTCCCCTGGGATGCGCTTTTTGTGCAGCCTCTGTGACATCACTGGATTGTGACGTCACGGCAGGAAGCTGGTGTCCCCAGCCTTGGCGCTCCGTGTGGCAGTAACACCGCAGCGTGGCGTGGCAGTAACATCGCAGCGGGTCCCTGGGTGGCTAGGCCATGAAACCTTAGGAGGCCATGCCGAAACGCGACATCGTCCTCACCAATGTCACCGTTGTCCAGCTGCTGCGACAGCCATGCCCCGGTGAGGGATGAGGGGGAGAGCCTCTGCGCACATGGGGAGAGGTGGTCGGGGAGCAGCATTTGCTGTGTCGGAGCCCCCTCCTTTCTTGAGAGTCCGAGAGGAAGGGGACAGGAGGCACAGGCTCTTCCATCCGGAGCTACTTTTCTCCCACTCTCCACCCCTGCCGGTTTGCTGGCAACGTGGTTTCTATAATGATGGTGGAAGTGATGGGGACTCCCATCCTGAGGGTGGGCTGTAAGCTTCTAGAGCATGATGGAAGGATAGAAGCAGGGGCGGGGCGCAGGCTGGAGCAGGTTTTTGAGGGGCAACTCTGGGTACAGCCCCTGGGGTTAAGAAGCTCGGCAGGCTGGGTTTCACATAAAATGGATGCTTCTGTCGACAAGGACAGAAGAGCCACTTGGGAGTTAGTGGGCTTCTTCCCTCCCTGTATTGCACGAAGCGTGGACACTTGCGACCTGCCAGGGCTGTGCCAAGTACTTTACAAGTGAGCTCACTGAAGCCTTTTTGGAGAGCAAACCACCTCCCTGGGTCTCTCACACAGGATTAGGAGATAGAGTAGGGACTCGGAGTCCCTGGCCAAAATCACGGGCCAGACAGACGGGGACAAACGGACACACACACACACACACACACACACCCCACCACCCCACCCCCAACTAAAGGAAGCAGAAACCTTGCTTCAGGAGGGCACCCCCCATTTCCTCCCGCCCTGGTCACAGAGGGCGGGAAGAGGGGGCAAGCCGGGAAGCTCCACCCTGCGGGGGTGGGCGTAACCAGAGCTTCGGTGAGCGGTGAGCTTCAGGGTTGGGGAGCTCCTGCAAGATACAGCACCAACACGGTAGGGGCTTTGGGCCTCTCCTTGCTCATTACTCGCTCTGGGACCTCAGGCCTATTTCCCCTCTTAAAGTGGGTTTGTAGCACATGCCTCACAGGATTCTGTGAGCCAATGTACATGGAGCTCAGCACAGCACTTGGCCCATGGTGGAACCCAGGAAATGGAAGCCTCATTGTAACTGGGAGAGCATACCTGTGCTTGTGTTTCACCTACCAGGTGATGCTTCAATGATGAAGCTCCTCTCGCCTTCTCCTTCCCAGCGCAGAAGCTCTCCCAGTGTACCCCACCCTTAGAATGGAGGGGAGGGAGGGGGAGGGGGGGGGAGGGAGGGGGAGGGGAGGGGAGGGCTGAGGGAAGTTGGGAGAGGACTATCTGAGTTTTCTTTGAAAATCACAAAAAGGCAAGGTGATAGGTGCTAAAAAAAAAAATGTCACAAAGTGGACCCATCCCTACTCTTAATCCAGACTGACAAATCTCTTTTCATGGTAGCAGAATCAGAACCCTAAGGAATGCAAACATCCTTAAGATCACCAATAATCATAGGGTGCATGCCACCAATAAACACTAATACTTCAGTCCAGCCTCAGGCCCCAAGGTCTGTGGCAGCCCATAGAGGTCAGGAATACAACAGGCCAGGTGGCTCCTGGCTCCTAGTCCCACCACCTTCCAGATGTTTGTGATTCTATTACCAAATACAACTCCCACCTTCATCCTCCAGTCTCTCCTCAACCCCTTCTCTCTCCCTTTCTTCATGAATACTTACATCAGTCTTCCTCCCCTCTTTATTAAAATCAGCAACTACTCAGCCTTGAGATCTCACTGAGTCCTCACAGAAGCCCCCAAATGGAGGGTCAGATATGATGACAGGAAACAGGCCAGAGAGGTTCATTAACTTACCCAAGGCTACAGATGCAAGGTGGCTAAGCCAGAGCCAACAATCAGGCCTGACCCCCAGTATGAAACCCTGTGTCAGGCAGGCCCCTTGACTGCTGTTTGTACATCTCCCTCGTCTCAAGATTTTACCTGCAGCTCAGGTAGCACACCTCCAAGCACAGGTGTTTTAATATGCAGTATGGGAATGGGAGTTTAGAGAGGCGAAAGCTGATAAAGGTCTCTATTTGTTCATGCTTGGTGCACCTGTATTGTGAGGCTAAGAATCACCTGAAGTGCTTGTTCTGCAACACTTGGGCCTCAGAACAGACCTACTTCACTAGGACAGGCTTCCCAGATGATGCTTATCAGAACTGTTTGGGGACCACTGGGCTACATGAGTTATCAGACCATTCAGAAAATATATTTGAAATACTAATGTATAATATGTGGAATGTTCCCAGATTCTTGTCATAAGCACTATATATATTACCTCATTTAATCCTAATAGTGCCCCTCTGAGAGAAGTACTATTATCATCTCCATCTTAGAGAGGAAACTGAGTCACAGAGAGTGTCACCCCCAAACAACTGTTAAAAATACATAGTACCCACTCAATATGACTCTCCAGAAAAGGGGCCCTGCTGTTGACATTTTAAAGCAAGCCCATCCCCTGCTCATTCTGTGGATCAGGTAGGTGTGGGAAACACTGGGCTAGATGGTTGGTCATTAGGGGTCAGAATCCAGCAACAGGTTCTAGGTGGGAAAAATGGTTTATTTTCTCTCACTGTGGTGGTGCAATTAACTGCTGCCCCCATCCCCCCACCTACGACAGTGACCAGACCACCACCACCACCACCCCGGCCAGCGCCCAAAGTTGAGGCAGAGCCAGAGCCAGAGCCTGAGCCACAGCCAGAGCCAGAGCCAGAACCACAGCCACAGCCACAGCCACAGCCACAGCCTATCAAGGAGGAACCCCCACCTCCTCCACCTAAGGTTCCTAGGGTTCGGGAACTCACTGTTGGCATCAATGGGTGAGTCAGCCCTGGCCCCTGATCCCTTCCTGAAGCCTTAGGGCCCAGGCTTTCCTCTGATTACCAGCAGAATGGGGCACCTCCACATTTCTCACCATTAGTGCTTTTACTCTGCTCACTCTGGAGAAACAGGGAAAAGGTAACAGGGCTCAACCCTCTCAGTGCGCATATTGAGAAGACAACAATCAAATAAGAAACATTTGGTTTGGTGATGTGTGTATGAACAGTATTGGAGTATAGTAAGACTGGATAGGCCAGTGTTAGCTGGGGTGTCAGGGAAGACCTCTGGGAGGTGATACTGGAATGAGGTCTGAGTGACAGCTGTGAAGCAAGCAATGGCTCTGGGACAGAGGTGGCAGCTCAGTGTGCAAAGGGCAGGCAGGAATTCAGTGTGCTGGTGTGCAGCAAACAAGGGAGAAGAGGAAGGAGAGCAATGGAAAGCAGACAGAGGCCTGGTAGGCCATGGTTAGGAGTTTGGATCCGGTTTTCTGACAGAGTATGTAAGTTTTCAGGTCAAGAGATGTAATCTGACCCAAAGTCCTACAAGATCCATCTAGCTACATGGTTAGGAATGGGGCAGAAGATGGGTGAGGAAGCAGGTAAATCAATTAAGAGGCTAGTGAGGTCATCTGAACAAGATGATAGTGGCCCATATAAGGCTGGTTACCTTCTTCCCCCAGACTGAGGAGTCCCACCCAGCCCCTTGAGGAGCCTTCTGTTACCCCCTTCTCTCTTGTCCCCTCCTCTGCCTGCTTGCCAAGGATTCTGAAGATAATCCCATAACATTTGTCCCTGGACAGGTTTGGACGCATCGGTCGCCTGGTGCTGCGTGCCTGCATGGAGAAAGGTGTTAAGGTGGTGGCAGTGAACGATCCATTCATTGACCCAGAATACATGGTGAGCAGCAGGCAGAGGGTAGGACGGGTGGAGAGGGGAGTTAAGAGTGCTCTCTAGAAGGCTCCCAGCTGCAATGTGGAACCTGCATCAAAGCAGGGACTCCTCAGGAATGCCCACTTTCCCACCCCGCCAGCCCAAGACAAGCAGCCACTCTGTCTCCTGCAGGTGTACATGTTTAAGTATGACTCCACCCATGGCCGTTACAAGGGGACTGTGGAATACAAGAATGGACGGCTGGTCGTGGATAACCGGGAGATCAGTGTCTTCCAGTGGTAAGGGCAGCTGTCTGAGGCATGCCTGCAACTATTAGTGAGGGCTTGTAAAGATGACATCAGTGGAGGTGTTGTAAAGAATGGCCTTCCAGCCTCTCACATAGGGTTCATAACCCCACAGATTGTGTATGTGCATACCTCTTGGTGTGGATATAGGGTCTCAGAGATGTCCCTGACTGCCTAAAATGGTAGATGGAAAGATGCCCCACTGTACTCAAGAATTACTTTTTATTTAATGCACATTTGCAAGTTTTCTCACAGGCAAACCAATTCAGCATGTCTAAAACTCACCTCTTGATTTTCCTTCAACTCCCAAACCTATTCATCTCCCTTCACAGGGAGCAGCATCACCATCTAGCCAACCACTTCTACTTAATTCCTACACGGCAGCCACAGAGGCCTTTTTAAAACATCAACTGGACCTAGTTAGTCCCCTATTAAACCCTCCCATCACCCCACAAATAAAATCCCACCTCCTGATAGCACCCCACAAGCACTATGAGCCCTTTGCCTTAGCCTCCTCGTAACCTCAGCCACCCTGTCCATTCACCTCTTGGGACCCTGATCCAGCACCTCTATACTTAAGCAAAGCTTCTCATACCCATTTCACAGAGTTCCCACTGATATTAATTTCCCTCCTTCATTTAAAGATATGTTCAGAATTGGTAAGTAGAAAGCAATACTAGATGTGCAATATGCTTCAAATACAAACATTTCCAAGATATAAAAAAAAACCTAAATATTTATAAAATGGGGAATAGTAAACCTACTTTATATTTCTTTGCAAATGCGTATAGCTAAGTTTAATTTTTTTCCACTTTTTTCCACACATTTTTTTACTGTTGTTCAAGTACAGTTGTCTCCATTTTCTACCCACCACTCCTCCCACCCCAGCCATCCCCACTTCCCACCCTGGATCCTACCTCACTTTGGCTTTATATTTCTAAGTAAATTGTTAGCTACTCCTGGCCCTGATTTTATACACACTTGTGCTTGCATACTCACAAGCCTTCCCAGTGCTCCTCCCAGCAGTTCCACTCTCAACCCCTCTCCTTTTATTTGCTGGCAAGGTGAATGATAAGGACAGGCAAGGAAGGCTTGAGGTGCAGGGAGTGGGAAGGGGGTGGAGATGGGGACTGGAGCATCGGTGTGAATGGGAGAAGCTGCTTGACCCAAGTTTGAAATCATACCGAAAACAATTCCAGCACAGAGGTCATTACTCAGACATACTGTGTCCTTTCCTTCCTCAATTTGGGCACCATCACCCCTGCCACTTGCAGCATTCTCCCCCTCAACATGCATTCTTACTCAGGTGCTGCCTTCTCAGGTCACTGCAATGGTTACTCCCCACTCCACCCCACTCTCCATTACTGCGCTGTCCATGTTCTCCAGGCACAAAAAAAAAACAAACCAATCTTGCTTTTGTGTGTACTTTACCCTGCTCTACCCTTTCTAGCAAGGGAATTGAACTTCCTTAAACTTATTTCCTCATGTAACTGATGGAGATGATCAAATCCACCACATTCATAGTGGATAGCAGAGCCAAAGTTAATAGGTGTACGGAGAACACTGGGAAGAGCATTTTCCCACAAGGCCACAGCCTCCTTGTAGGAAGAGTTCTTAGTTTGTGTCATCACTGTTGTTTTGGCACCTACGGTGCAGGCTTCAGTTACACCCCCACCCCTGTTGCTCCCAGGATATAGTGTCTGTCTTCAGGGACTTGCCGGCCTCTGGCAGCAGGCTTCCTATTGCAGAAGCTGAGTGGTGAAGACAAGAGAGGCAAGAAGGGCCATAGTGAGGTTGCCAGGGCAGGGAACCAGAAGCAGTGGGGCGGGCCTTGGCCTTCTGGGGTCTACATTCTAGATAGCTTATGTAGAAAGGGCCTGACGTGGTTAGGAGTAGTCAGGGATGGTCCCCTAAGGGCAAGGAGCCCTGAGCCCTGAGTAAGGGAGGTGGGAGCTTGTACACACCCAGGCATAGCAGGGGTGGGGCAGTCAAGAAAAATGGCCCACAAAGGGGGGTTGGGGTAAAAGGCAAGACCAGCAGGGTCAAATCCATCTGGGACAGCTAGGTATGTGTCGGATGGGGAGAACAGATGGCTGCAGGCCAGGTGGGAAGGTGTCTGGTCAGCCTTTCAAACTATAAAGGCCATGGACTATGACAGCAAGACAATGCAAGGGAGATTCATGCACAGTACTGCCACCCCTCCACAGCAAGCAGCCGAGAGATATCCCCTGGAAGTCTGTTGGGAGCCCCTTTGTGGTGGAGTCCACAGGCGTGTACCTGTCCTTAGAGGAAGCTTCCGTAAGTGGGGGAGAGGTGCCCAGGGCTGGCCAGTGTGGGGGTGACACTCAAAAGCCTTATGAATTCATGACACCATTGCTCCTTCTTCCTTCCCTAGAACCACATTGCAGCAGGTGCCTTACGTGTGGTCATCTCTGCACCCTCACCAGATGCACCTATGTTTGTCATGGGGGTGAATGAAAAGGACTATAACCCTGGCACCATGAAAATTGTCAGGTAAGGGGCAGGTACCATCCTGTGCATGGTACCCAAGAGGACATGCCAGCCCGTGATGAGGAGGGATCAAAATCAGACTCAGCCTCCCCAGCTCCACCCCTACTGGTATTCCTTTCACATCCATCTGCTTCTCCTTCCCAAAGCCTTAACAGCCACCATGTTCACATTGCCCTAAAAGTGTTAGAAATACATGACTTCTGGAGAACATGCTTGGGGAGCTTCCCCCAGCTGCACTTCTGGTGCCTCCTTGTCTGAAGGCATCCCCAATGATCCCACTCATCCCCATCCTGACTCTTCACAAAACCAAGCCTATGAGCATATCCCCAAAGTGAGGTAAGGGTGGTAGGGCAGCTCTGACCCTCACCTCACAGTGTCCTTGCACACTGGGCTGTTTCAGCAATGCATCCTGTACCACCAACTGCCTGGCCCCCCTCGCCAAGGTCATTCATGAGCGATTTGGGATTGTGGAAGGACTGATGGTGAGTTGAAGGCTGGGGAAGGATGGATGGCAGGGAAATGACTTGCTTAGTGTGTGAAGTTAACAGGAAGAGACAGGTTTCAAGAGGAAAGTCCTGCCAGTGGTGAAGTCTTGTAAAACACTGTGTAAGTCACATGCAAGGCTGGACCCTGGCTTGCAAGTGTCCCTCCTGTGGTCTGTGGTGGTGGCCCCACCAACTTCCACACCTGGTTCATCACCCTAGGCCTAGAAAAAAGAGGTATAGGAGTTTAGGAGCCAGAAGGCCTCACCTCAGTCCCCTTCTCTCCAAGACCACAGTTCATTCCTACACGGCCACCCAGAAGACAGTGGACGGGCCATCAAAGAAGGCCTGGCGAGATGGACGGGGAGCCCATCAGAACATCATCCCAGCCTCCACAGGGGCTGCCAAGGCTGTGGGAAAAGTCATACCAGACCTCAAAGGGTATGAGGGCAGAAAGCTGCAACCAAGAAGGGGGGCATACCTTGGGAGGACTGCAGTAGCCCCAGTCCTTGAGGTGTTTAATGAGGGGAAGGGGGAGGGGAGGGAAGATGGATGGAGAATCCCCTGGGTTCTTATTCCCACTCCAATGTGGGATTCTCCAGGAAGCTGACAGGAATGGCATTCCGAGTGCCAACACCAGATGTCTCTGTCGTGGACCTGACTTGCCGCCTTGCCAAGCCTACCCCATACTCAGCCATCAAAGACGCCATAAAAGCAGCAGCCAAGGGGCCCATGGCTGGCATCCTTGCCTACACTGAGGACGAGGTAGGGACTGAGGAGAGGAGACCCTGGGAGGAACCCTCTGGGGAGCAAGCATGACTCCCCACTTGCTAAGGAGCTGCTCATAATGTATCAAGATAGGAACTGCAGGGCTGGGAAGATCAGCTCTCCCTGACTCGGAATCTTTGCGCTTGGTGCTCGTTTGGTCTGGAAAGCTTTTTCCCCAGGTGGCTATATATCTGTCCTCACCTCCTCCAAGTCTTTATCTCAGCCTTTCCTCTCTGCAAGATGTTCTTTTCATGGCCCTTTTCTTCACCTGAAATTTCATTTCATACTCACTGTTGATCCTGCTAGCACATGCATTCCAAGAAGGTAAGGATTTGGGGACTATCTTTTCACTTCCATAGCTCCAGCCATCTTCCCAGGGCCTGGAACACAGCAGATGCTCAATATACACTTCATGAACAAGACAACATATCCCATTTTTCAACATTTGCTCAGGGCAGCCCATGGGCAGGTACCTTCCCTGTAAGGAACAGATGTCACTGTCCCTTTGCTCCCACTAGTGTCATTTCTGGTGCTGTCTCCTTGTTTTAGCTCCTGCAGATCCATCCTCACACAGCCACCAGGACCTCTTGTTCTAACAAAACCAAATCATATCACCCCCCACCGCTGAAAAACCTTCCTGTGGCCTTCTACCACACCAGGGCCAAAACCTTCAGGGCCTCTGTGCTGGAGCGCCTTCCACCTCACATACTGCTGTGCTTAGAAGTTGAGGAGTCCTTAGAGGAGCTGGCCAGACCCTCCTAGGTATCCAGACCCAGCCTAGCTGCCTCCACTCAGGAGCCTCCTTGCCAGCCCATTCCAAGTGTCTGCATTATTCCCAGAAAATGATATTTATTGGTGCAGCATCAGGGTGTTTCATATCCAAAGCCTGGACACAGTAGAAGTCCGCCAAATATTGTAAATGAATGGATGGCCAATATGCCTGAGTCAGAACCTGGGCTCCTGGAGGCCTTTGCTCTGTGACCCACACTTAACCTTCAAAACTCTTACACCCAGGTTGTCTCTACGGACTTTCTCGGAGATACCCGCTCATCCATCTTCGATGCTAAAGCCGGCATCGCGCTCAACGACAACTTCGTGAAATTAATTTCATGGTAAGGGGGAAGGGGTCTGAGAACGTGGGGGGAGACTGGGGGTAATTGGTAGGGATCCCCTGACCCCCTCCCTCCTTCCTCCTCCCCAGGTACGACAACGAATACGGCTATAGTCACCGGGTGGTGGACCTCCTCTGTTACATGTTTAGCCGAGACAAGTGAAGTAGGACAGCCCCTCCTCTGTTTCCCTGTACTCCCAGTCCAGAACCTCTACCTCCCGCTCCCGCCCTCGGCTCCCCAGGGGAAGCAAGGTGCCCTGGGCAAGGGACCCGCGCCGCTGGGCCACCAGTGAAATAAAAACAGCTGCTCACAGCTGCGCCCCGTGTCTCTGCGCCGTTCACCGCGAGGTTCAGTGCATTTTCCGTCTGGCTAGGGCCACCCACCCACTACCTCGGCTCTGCGCCGACGCCCAGCAGCGGGACTGGCTCGCGCAGGGTTCAGGCTGCCGCGCTCAGTGCCTCGGCGGCGCTCGCGACGTCAGCACGCCGGCGCCGTGGACTCCGCTCCCAGAAGGCCGCGCGGGCCGCGGCGGAGGCCGAGGCACCAGGTGCGTGCTGGGGCGCTAGGCGGGCAAGGTAGAAACCTGTGCTCCGCCGGGCCCGGGGCAGCGCCATGACCTTATTTCACTTCGGGAACTGCTTCGCCCTCGCCTACTTCCCCTACTTCATCACCTACAAGTGCAGCGGCCTGTGAGTGCGGGGCGGCCGCGGGGCGGGGGGCGCGGGCCCAGACGAGCCCTCACCTCCCGCTCCTATAGGTCTGAGTACAATGCCTTCTGGAAGTGCGTCCAGGCTGGCGTCACCTACCTCTTCGTGCAGCTGTGCAAGGTAAGGACGCCCGGAGCCGCACAACTAGTCCCCAGGCTCGGCACACCCAGGGCTCCACCCTGCTCTAATCCGGCTGTGTGGGGTGGTCCTCAGCACAACACATAGAAGGTGAACTTTGGGAGGGTGGAACCTGAGGAGAGGCCTCCAAGCAACTTTTGCGTAGCAATTTTTGTAAAATTGAGAAAACTCAATTGTACAATTAAGAGGGGTTTAGTATGGTTAAGAACCGCTAACCACCACACTGACTGCAAATGCCCAGGCACTTCCAGGTCTGACCGTGATCCCCAGTGATCACCAGTGATCACCATAGAGAACTTCCAGGTCTCTACCCTTCATCTCCCCGGGTCCTGTACTCTTGTCCTCATCTGGTTGTTCCTCTCCACATGGGAAGCCTGGAACCATGTACACACTAACTTCCCACAAAACCATCTTAGTTTGTCACCCTCACCTTGGGGTGACCTCTGTTTTCTGTTCTTAGATGTTGTTCCTGGCCACTTTCTTTCCCACCTGGGAAGGCGGCATCTATGACTTCATTGGGGTGAGTGGGGCAAAGAAGGCAGGAGGGGGTGCAGAAATGAGGCCTCCTGGTACCTGTGCTTAAGCAAGCTTCAACCTGACCCACAGGAGTTCATGAAGGCCAGCGTGGATGTGGCAGACCTAGTAGGCCTGAACCTTGTCATGTCCCGGAATGCCGGCAAAGGGGAGTACAAGATCATGGTTGCTGCCCTGGGCTGGGCCACCGCGGAGCTCATTATGTCCCGGTGTGTGCAGCAGCCTGGAGCCTAGATTCCTAAAATAGGACACTTGGTTTCAGGGAGGATCTGTAGGGTGGGGGCTCAGATTCTGGGTGCTGAGGGTTTCTGGGTACTGGAGAACTCTTCCCTTTGCCTTCTTCAGTTGCATCCCCCTCTGGGTTGGAGCCCGGGGTATTGAGTTTGACTGGAAATACATCCAGATGAGCATTGACTCAAACATCAGTCTGGTACGTAATCCCATTCTCCCGTACACGACTTTTTGGTGGTGGCACTACTCCTCAAGGCCTAGCCCTGACTTCCTGCCTCCCTTCAGGTCCATTACATCGTCGCATCTGCCCAGGTGTGGATGATAACACGCTATGACCTGTACCACACTTTTCGGCCGGCTGTCCTCCTGCTGATGTTCTTCAGTGTCTACAAGGCCTTTGTCATGGAGTGAGCGGGGTGGGGTTCAAGGCCGGGTCCAAATGGGGATGGGTTATCTTTTTTCCTTCTTTCATTGTAATATTTCCCCACAGGACCTTCGTCCACCTCTGTTCCCTGGGCAGCTGGACGGCACTTCTGGCCCGAGCAGTAGTGACGGGGCTGCTGGCCCTCAGCACCCTTGCCTTGTATGTCGCTGTTGTCAACGTGCACTCCTAGGCCTGGTATCCCACATACTTTTTCCTTGTCTCGAGAAGTAAATAGTATTTGGAAAGCTGTTTCCGCCTACATCTCTCTCCGGAACTGTATACCAACACCATGCTCACCTACATGCCAGAGTTCCTTGTTCTGGCTTTGGAGCCAGGTGGACAGGCTAGGAAAGTAGCTGGCCCTGATTTGTCCAGTGTTCTTGGAGCAGTTCTTCAGCTTCTTTTTACCCTGGAGTGGACCAAGGGCTTGACGTATATAATCTTTGAGCAGTGGCAAATCAGAGAACAGGTGATAGGGAGCTAGAATCCAAAAGATGGTCTGTGGGGACTTTTCACAGCCTTAATCTGATCCTCTCCTACATGGACCCTAGCTAGTCACCTCCTAGACACCTGTCCCTAATCTCCTTTGATCCACCCTTTATATGACAGCCAAGGGGATCTCTCTGAAACCCCAGTCTTACTAATTCACCTTCCTTACAACCATCTAGGGCTCCCTATTGCACACTGGCCCTTGGGGCAGACATCTGTGATTCTGAGTTCCTCAGTGCTTTCACTCAGTTCTGTGGCCCGCAGATCACAGGACTGAGAATTCTTAGGGTGGAGTTCAGAGACAGCAGCAGCCAAATAGAGCATTTGAGCCCTTCAATTTGGGTATTGTCCTGGAAGCCACCCTCCCTACCCTAACCCTTCCTTGGTCCAGTGGGGTCAGCTCCCCACCCCACTTCCTCCCCCTCCCTGAGAAGTATGTCAGAAGCAGGGCTTTGAATGTCATGTTTAAGCTCCTCCTCGATGCAAATCCTGCCGGCTGAGGAAAGTGCCCACCAGCCCTGGTTCTCCCAGTGGTATGCCCCAGGGTGTGGGATAGGGCAGTTGTCCCCTGCCTCAGTCTGTCAGACTGCGAAGGTCCTGCCATAATGTAATTTAACCCTGGGCCTAGGAAAGCACCATGCACAGCTCTGTTCAGCTCTATGACAGTCTTGGTGTTTTCAGAGGGTACATATAACTACCATCTAGCCTTATCCCCTCCTTGCTTGTAGTCAAAACAGGGTCCACAGGTGTCTTAGGAGAGGAGTGGAGAAGTAACTGATTGGTCAGCCTGACTTTGACTTGAAAAGCGATTACAGCAGGCCCTCTCCGAGCCCAGGTGGGTGGATGTGTAATGGAGTTACTTTCTCCCATACGTCTACCCCATATACCACCTAGCTCTCAACTCTTACTAGAACAAGTGAAGTTTGCGGAAATTACTCAACAACTATTTGCTGAGCAGGGACTCTGACCCAGGCCCCTTGCTGGTGGCCAGCTGTTTGTGAACTAATCCCAGCTTTCATGGAATAGAGATAGACCAGAGTGGTTGGGGGGCAGGGTTGGGGGTCCGGGCCAGAGAGATCAGGACTGTGATGGGTGAAACCTGTTTGGAGTAGTAGGACTGGTAAGCTAAACTACATTTATTAGGGCTGTGATGGTAAAACACAGGCTGTGGTGGCCCAGAGGAGCCAGCTGACAGACTGAGGGGCAGGCTGGGCTCCCTGGAAGAGAGGTTTATGTGCTGAGACCTGAAAGATGAGTTAGTGGTCAGAGAGGAGAAAAGCAGATGTCAAGGCCTAAGGTCTTAAAGTCACGACCTTCCCTTTCCAGCAAAATGGTTGGAACCCGTTCAAAGGGACTTGTGAGGCAGAAGTCAGCAGGGGCCGAATGCCAGAAGGCTCTAAGGATTGGGTGAGGAGTTAACCAGGGGCAGTGGGGAGCCATGGAGAGTTCCAGGAGGGGGCAGATAGGGTCAGATTTAGCTCTGAGAAGATCTCTGTGGCCACTGTGGGTGGGAAGACAGACAAGAACACCAGGACAGGGATGACAAGTAGGAAGAAAGCCTATGAGCAGACTAGAGGTGGTGGTAACCAATAGGCTGTGTATTTTTTCCCGTGGGGTAAGGGGGTTGGGGAGATGACAGGTGCAGAAGGACTGAAGAACCCTGAGGACTCATCACATTTTCCAGGGAGAAGGAACCCACTGATGGGACAGTGTGTAGGAGCAGGTTTGGAGGGTGATGCCGAGGCCAGCATGGGTGTCCTCAGACATGCCTGTTGAGACTGGAGACAGATGTAGGTATCACTGCAGAGACAAAACAGAGGGGTAGGGAGTACTGTGCTGAATGAAGAAGGAGAAGCCAAGGGCCCAGCCAGAGAGACGCATTCAAGAAAAGGTAAGAAAGGCAAGAAAGGGGACCAAGAAAAGGTGTGTCCAGAGGGAGGTGGAGGGCCCAGGGACAGGGGAGTTTCTGACAATTGGAAGCTTAACTTGAAGTGGGAGGGTGTAAGGAACAGCCTATGAATCTAACCTCCAGGAGTTGGTTGGGATACCCATTGCAGCAGCAGGGGAGTGAACAAGTGGAATAAGAATGGAGACACCTGTGAAGTATAGTCAGAGGGGGCTGCCCGAGGTAGAAAAGATTTTGATACCCTGTGTCAAGGATCCTCCCCAGCGGGAGGATGGGTGCTAAGAAAGGAGAGAGCCCAGAAGCAGTGTTCTCTGGTTAGTGGGTGGTTAAAGCAGTGCTCTGAAGGTGCCTGTGGTCACATCCACCTTGCCTTTAAATGCTGTAACCCTAGGCAAAAAAAAATGGGAATTCATTTCCCCAAGGAAGGGTTATTGAGCATGTACTATGTGCCAGGCTGTTGTAGGAACTGGTGATAAGGCCCTGAACAAATAGCCCCTAAGTTGAAGGATTGACCAAAGGGACTCATGAAAACCACTTAAGATGATGCCGCACTGAATTAAAAAGCTGTCACTGTGAGCTGGTTTATTACTATTATGCAGACACAAGTGTGTTTTAAAGAAGAACCCCCAGGTACCCTACCTCTCAGAAGCTGCTAGCTCCTATTCCCCACCATACCCTCCCCTCAGGTGGGGGCTTCCCCAGGCCAGCTTAGAGGACTGGGCCTAAGGACTGTTTGCTTCTCCAGGGAGTTGGGCCCCTTGTGGATAGGGGAGGGTAGTAGGGAGGATCCCTCCAAGTTTGGGGTGCCATGGGCTACAGGAGTAGGCACAGGTCAGGCTAGGACTCTTGATTGCTCAGATGTTGGTCCAGACAGCCCCATGAGTCTTGACCCCACCTGGCTGTGATGAGGCAGGGATGACACTAAGGCAGCTCTCCCTCTAATAGTAGAGTTCCTGGTCCCACCAACCTGGGAGAGAGAGAGCAAAGACTCAGTGCTGGGGGCATGAGGGTCAGGGTGTAGGGTCTAGGACTCAGAGGTTATGGCAGTTTGATTTGGAGGTCAAGTGTTGAAGATCAAAGGTCAGGACAGCTGCTCTGAAAACACTTCAGCACTCACCCACCCCCAGGTCCCCAGTTTCCACACTCACTCCCTGGACAACAGCGAACTCCAAGTTTCCGGAGCTCATCATAGACAAAAATGAGGAGGCCAAAGGGCATGGGGACCAACCACCACTGGAATCTGAAGGCACAGGAGATGGCAAGGTGAAGGCTATTCTCAGGACTATGTTCCACATGCCCATCCCTCTACTCACACCTCGTGACCCCTTACCGAATGGGCATGAAGTTGAAGATGTTGGGCATTCCAGGGCAGTAGCACAGGAAGCAGCCAATGCAGACCTGAAACACGATGGCAATCACCAGGATCTTGTTCCTGCAGGTGGGACAGGGCGGGACAGGCTGGGCTCAGGATAAAAACAGCCATTAGGAATTTGGGGCCAGATAGAAATAAGGTACTGGGTCAAAGGAGACCAGATGTCGTTAGCAGCAGGAAGATGTTCTAAACTTTTAAACCAGAGTCGCCTGCACCTCTGCAGTAGGGGATGCTGGTCTTGTCAGCATCACCCCTTTAGCTGATGAAACACGGAAGGGCCAGTTGAGAGGCACTCGGTGGGAGATACTGACCAGCTATGATAAGGAATGTTAGCACCTGGCACCGGCACATCAGCATATTCAGTGCTGGTTTTGCTGCAGTAAGCCCTGGTCAGGACCTGATGGAAGTTGAGGCTAAGGCTTGAGGGCAGGGCTCAAGGGGCAGCTGGACACCTGAAGAATCCCTGCTGGAAGGCAGAGAGGCGGCGTGTCTTGCGAATGAGCACATCGGCAATCTGGCACATCTCGATGCTGATGAAGAACACTGTATAGCAGGTGTACTGCTGATACAGGCGCTGCCCAAATGTCTGTGAGCCAGAAGAAACAAGCAGCCTAAGTCCAGATGGAGAGCCTCTGCAGCCAGCTAGGCACTCAGGGCATGGGACCAGGAACCCTTAAAAGCTCCTTCCCCTGCATCAGAGCCTAGGGTGCAGGGAAAGGAGAGGTGCAGGATCTGCTAGTGTGAGGCCCAGAAACCTTGGTCGAGCAGAGCCAGGATGTCAGTGTGTAGATGACAGGTCAGGCCAATTGCTTTCCTAATGAAAGAACGGAGGTAGAATTTCCTGTGCACCCAAAAGGGATCTGGGAAAAATGAATTGGACTCCTAAGGCAGGATTTGCAAAGTCCAGTGATTCCAGGACCCAGGCAGAGGGCAAAAAATAAGTGAAGTAGGCCAGGTGGGCACATGGGGAACAGCACTGAAGATGGCAGTCACTATTAAGTCCATTTCTTTAATATAACTATTTTTAATATCAGCTAATTGTGTAGGGGACACTTTCTATACTCCAGGTACAAGTGTTTCACATATCTCATTTAATCTAATACTCCAATGAGGTAGATTAGTGGCACCCAAACTAAAGTGTGCATCAGAACCCCAGAAGGGCTGGTTAAAATACAGATTCCAGGCCCCACCTGCAATGTTTCTGACCCCAGAGGTATGGGGTGGTGACTGAGAATTTGCATTTCAAATAAGTTTCCATGTGGTGCTGATGCTGCTGGTCTGGGGGCCACACTGAACATCACTGAGGTATGAGTTATAGACATCAATGTCCTCTCCACTTTAGATGTGAGAAAACAGGCACAGTGAGGCAAAAGAACTTGTCCAGGGTTACACAGCAGTTAGGATCAATAGCATGCCATGAATCCAAGGGAGTCTGGCTCCAAGGTCTACATTTATAATCACAACAATAAATGTTTAAAGGTATCTGTAACTCTACAGGGCAAGCTAAACACACCTACCAACCAGGTCTGGCCTCTCTCTGCTCCAAACCTTCATTAAAGTCAGCCACAAATGCATAGTCGTATACTCTGTGTTAGTGATGCAGGGAAAATAACAGAATTGGGACCTGGTTTCACACCTGAGATGATATATTACTGTCAGGGCAGGGAGAGGACCCATCTGCATTTGGGATCATCAGAAGCAGGAGTTTGGAGTTCAATACAGTAATAGAAAAAGGCCCTTTACCCCAGAACTGGCAGAATCTAGGTGTCTGGGATGCTCTAGCTGAGCTCAGTCACACATGTACCAAACACACTAGACTGGTGGCATTGCAAATGAGGGAGTCATGGGACTCACCCACTCCTGGCCATAGCTGTCCTGCAGATCTTGTAGGTGGTGGTTCTCCCATTGTGGCCGCAGCCCCACACACAGCAGTGGGAACCAGCCCTCCTGGGCCATGGCTGTGAAGTAGTCAGTAAAGCCAGCAAATGACTGGATGGCACCTGAGAGAGGCAGGGAGACAAGAGATGGAACACAGAGAGACAGGGACACAAAAAAAAACATACACAGAGTCAGGAATATACACACAGAGACAGGGACATAACAGTGACATGAGAATGACAGGAACATAGGCAGTGACAGGTGTGGAGACACAGAGATAAGGACCCCAAGACAGATTGATAAGAACACAAGAGACAGGGTACAGAGAGTGACAGAGACATCTGGAGGTCTCAAAAAATGACAAAAGAATGCAACAACCCAGAGTCAGGATCATAGAGAACAGGGCCAGAGATGGAGAAGGGATGGAGGGGACTATAGAGATCATTATGTGCAGATAAGGACTCAGAATGACAGGGACCCAGGATCAAATGCAGAGATCAAGATCCAGAACAAGACAGAGCCACAGGTAGAGACCCCAAAGCAGGTGAGCAGCTTTGCAGGAGAGCTCAGGCTTCCCAGCCCCATGGGCACTCACCAATCTGGAAGTAGGAGTAGGCAGCCAGGGGTTCATTGACCAATCGGTCACGCTTTGGGTTCCGTGGACGCAGATGCATGATGTCACTCTCAGCCTTCTCATATGCCAGGGACACAGATGGGAACTGGCCAAGAGCAGAAGGAACCTGGGTTAAGAGTTCGCCTGGGCCCCTGTCCCTACTCTCTAGAGCTCTCTTCCCCATTGCTAGTGGGGAGGGATAAAACTGAGATTAGGAGACAGGATCAGCAGTGACCACACCTTCCTGGACAACTTGGATCCAGCTGGCCCCAATCAAGAGTATTGGCATGTCTGTCTTGGTGTCCATCTCCATCATAACATCTGTATTAATCTACTCTCTTGCATGTTCTCTCCCTATCTCTGTCTCCTCCCTTGCTGTTGCCTCTTCCTTCTCTTCCTTCTCCTCTCTCTATTTTTGCTCTGGGGTACTCTGGTCTTGGCCCTTCTTTCTCTCCCTTTGTTTCTTTGCCCTTGTCCCTGGTCTCTTTTCTCTGTGACTGTGTCTCTGCTTTTGTGTCTCTCTGTTTCTTCCTCTATGTCTGCCACTATCTCTGTTTCTCTGTATCCATTCTGTCTTTGTATTCTCCTCTGAATTCCACCCCATATATGTGTGACTACAGAGTGGCAGTAGAATGTACTGATCAAGAACACAGGCTCTCAGGCATCTGACTGCCTGGCCTCAAATTCCCACTGTGTCACTTATTAGCTGTGTGACCTGAGGCAAGGTACTCAACCTACCTATGCCTCAATGAGCTCATCAGTAAGATGAGAGTGATAAATAAAACTCATGTCATAGAGTCATTATGACAAAATTAAGTAAATTAATGTGTTCCTGGCCCAGACTAGGCACTGTGTAAGTTGTTGAATAAACACGTCAACATGGCCAGCACCTGGCTACATCTGTGGCTATATCTGTGACTCTTTCCCATCTGTCTGCCTTAAGATCTATCTGATGGTATTTTTTGTCCATACCTGTTGAGCAATGTCTATCTGTGATCCAAGTTTAGCCAGACATCTGTATCTTTTAATAGATTTATTTATCTGAGTGTTTGTATCTGAGTCCATGTGTGTCCATGGGTTTTGGCCATGCCTACCTGAGTGTCTACCTTTGTGTCCATGTCCATAGTTCTGCCTGTATCTATCCGCCTGCCTGTGTCTCCACGTCTGGCTGTTGTATATACACCTTATTTGTGTTGATCTGTGTCCAAGAATGTCCATGGTGGTTTCTGCCCATCCTGTCTATGGGCACACATCTATGGGCATGTATGGGTGGGTGCATTGGGGCTGTAGACTCACAATGTCAGTGCAAAGTTCTATGAAGAGGATGGTGATGCACCCAAGGGGCAAGGGCACACTGACAGTGATGTAGATAAGATACGGTGTCAGTTCAGGGATGTTCTTGGTCAATGTGTAGGCGATGGACTTCTTCAGGTTGTCAAAGATCAGTCGGCCTATGGGAGTACAGCAGACACCTCAGTCTCCTCAC